TTAATAATATACTTGGATTGCTATAAATATTAATTTAATGTGAAATTAATAAATGACTTTTTTTTATTGAAAGAAAAAAAATTTTTTTTTTTTAAAACTACAACTAATTTTTGATTTATTCGTACCTTTTTCTTTTCTTTTTTCAAAATAGAATATTTGGATTGTAAATAATGGTCAAATACAAAATGAAATTAAGTAATTTATAAATTTTTGATGATAAATGAATAAGAAGGTAAAATAACATAAACATGCAGTAATATTTATGCATCATTTGCATAATTTTATGTTTACAACACAGTTATTTTTAGATCGCACAAATAAAATTAAACGTGAATAATGAATAAATTTTAGGTTAAAATTAATTTACCTAGCAATCATTTTACGTAATCTCGTGTCAGCTAACATTTGTGCAGCTAAATTCAAATTTGATAATGATTCATCATTTTGAAAATTATGTGCACTGCACGTGATAAATTTGCATATTCTTGAATTACTTCTACAAATTGGCATATCATCTAATGTAGAAGAATATTTTGGTGAGCCAAGAATTTCAGCATCTCTTCCTCTTATCGTCTCTGATTGTAACTGAAAAATGGAAATAAATTTTAAAAATTTGTCGTAAGAAAAGCTTTTTAAATTTCAATCTCATTTTTAAAATTGGTTTAGACATACTAAATTAAATTGTTTTTTTTTCACATTAGAATAAGTCATACTTTTCTGGATATCATTAAATCTGATTGCATTGATCCCGAAGTATCAATAATTGGTCGAACAAAGTTCAATGCTCCTTGAATTATATCATTCAATGACACTAGAAAAATTTTTTTGATTTTTTTTGCGACTGAGTTATTCTTTGTTAATATTAAATTCAATTTATATAATTTGTATGTAAAATTCATTGAGCAAAAACAAATTTAATCAAAATTTCAAAATTTTTAAACAAACATCAAATAATATGAAAAATTTTAAAAATTTTTTCATATTCTTTTATTTGCTATGATAATAAGAAATTTTGTTAAAAAGCAAAAAGAAAAAAGAAAATCAGAATATTAAATATTAATTTAACAAATTATAACACTAAAATATTACAAAAGTCTGAAATTAAAACTCAAAAAAATTTAATTTATTTTGAGTTTATATTTAATAAAAAAAAAGTGTAACAAACCTTGACGTTTTGCATCATTCTTAATATCAATGATATTGTTGTTAAGTGCCGCGACAGATAGCACAAAGATAACAAATAATAAAGTAGAAAAATGAAAAAGTAACATTTTTGTATTAACCGAAACAATTCATTAATAATATTTAATTTGGAGTAATAATATGAGATTTTTTAAGTTTGATGGAATTTTTCTAAAAATAAAACTATCATTTCGTTTTTTTTTTTTAATTTGTATGCCACATAAAGTTAATATCAGAAGCATTAATAACGTGAGAAATTATATTAAATATTAATAAAAAATAGCATTAATTGAAGATGATGGTGGTGATTTCTTAATGATAATTAGTAATGATTACCGCACTCATAATTAAGACATCATGAAAAGAGCAATAATAATAATTAATAAGGATTATCATAATAACATAGTGGTAATTAATCAATTATAACAATCGTAGTTGAATATACTTGATGATATGATAAATTATGTTATTGATATTTATGAATTATTTATTAATTTAGTGAAAATTAGACCTGATTATTCTTAAGTGTATTATTTTTTTTTATAGAAAAATTTACGAATCATCAACCGACTATGAATATCATTGTTTTAATTATCAAATTGAACACTGTTAAATTTTCAATTTTTTTCTATCTTAGAAATTATTGTTTCAGAAAGTTAATAATAATAGCACAATACGAAAGAAAAAAATGTAATTGTTCATCAGAAATAATTATGAAATTTTTAACAATAAATTCAATTATAAATTCATTTGAAGTATTGTGTTCCAACACAGCAATCAATGAAAAAAGGAAGAATTTTAAAACAAATAGATAAATTTATTTTTGTATGCTAAGAAAATTGATGAAACTGAAAAAATTCGATGTATTTTTTTCAAAAAACTTTTATTGAATGGCAGAAAAAGAAAAGAATAATCATTAGTTTTATTTTCTTGAGATCATGCAAACGTCAAAGTGAGCACAACATGGCGTAATTTGTCCTATCGGAAATGATAGTATAATTTTTAGAACAATAACTGAATAGTAATTTAAATCGATGTTTTCTTTTAGAATATAAAATTTCCTACGAGTAAATAATGAAAGATTAAAAAAAGGAAAAACAACAATTGGTTAATTTATTTCAAATAATTTTTAGCAAAGGAAAAAAAAATAAAAGTTAGTAAAGTTGAGATGAAAATTCAATGAGTAGATATGACAGTAAAATGACTATTTTGAGTAGCAAGAGGAGAGAGAAAGAGAAAGAGAAAAGAAAGAAAGAGAGAAAAAGAGATAAAGAGAGGGAGAGGAAAAGGTAGAAATGAAAAACGGGTTTCTTATCCTACCAAAGATAATTTTAGAGAAAAGAGGTCGTCGTAGTGCTGTTTGAAAAATATATTTTCGTGGGTGGTGATACATTGATAATTGTATTATTATCAGGTTTTTAATGATTTAAATCTTTTAATTTTTCATTTGCAAGTTTTTTAAATCAAGCTAAATACCTTATTAATTATTACATTAGCTTTAATATTTTGCAATTTTTAATACATGTCAAAATTGGCTTATTATTTGTATTCATGTAATTAATTTTCATAGCTTATGTATCCAAATTTATGTAATAAAAAAAAAGTCATTAGCAGTAATCAAAAAAAAAAAAAAAGACAAAAGAGCATTTCAAAAAAAAAAAGTTCTACAAAAAAAATTTTTTTTTTATCTGATATAATAAATAAAGTACACATTGCCTATATTTATTATATGACTGACCTCCGAAATTATCGCATGCTGCCGCAACTGTGTCACTTATATTGTTCTTTCATAGAAAAAAAAAAGCAAAAAGTAGAAATAAATGAAATAAATACAGAAAGCATACATTTATTTTTTTTTGTATCTAAAGTTTTACGGTATAATGAAATAATTCAAAGAAGGTTTACATGCATTAAAAATGTTGACAAGATAATAGTGAATAAAATTATAAGAGAAAGGCATCACATCATAAGAAAAATGTTGCATGATGATATGAGTAGATGCGATGATAAATTATTGAAACTATTTTTTTTTATTTTTCTTTTTTTTATTTTATGTGTTTTTTTAAAGTAAGATCATGTAAACTAGGAAAGAATCTATCGTTTTACTATTAAATACTTTTATATTAGTGTAGAATTGATAGGATTCAAAGCGTATAAATACTTTTCTTTTTTTATTAGATCACTATTAGATAACTGTGTTCATTTAGCTTAGATTAAAGTTTTTGTCCAATTTAGTTATATGTATATATCAATATTATTAGCTATTGAGTAAAATAGTTATTTCCGATATTAATTTGTTTTCTAATCTTTGTTAAGTAAAGAGATGATTGATTAAGCATAATTCAGAAATCACTTTGATAAAGCTAGGATAACATCGGGAATTCATTTATGTACACATTGAAACAGCAATTGCTTCATTCTACTCAGTTTGAAAAGCATTTAAAATGGCACTTAAAATTTCTAATCATTCGAATGATTCATTTTGCTACCTTAATAAGGTAATAAGGTTTAATGTTTACCACCTAAAATAGCTATTTTCCCGGTAAACGTGCTTTTTGGAATATTGGGAAAGGTAAATGCTAGAAGTGCATAAAGTTGAATAATTTACTTGCGGCGATAAATAACTATCCTGATACAACGAAACTGTCAAATAGCACTACATTGCTAAATATTTGATGTATTCATGCATATCATATGTTTAATAATCATTTGTACAAAATCACAGAAAATGATCAAGAATAAATAAGTTGACAGAATGTATCATCGAATAAAACAGAAGATGCTAAATGTGGAATGAATTCAGGTAGATTTCAGGTTTCATAATCTTTGCTCACATTGATTCAAGTATCATATGGAAATAGTTAGATTAAAGTAAGTTTATTCACTTAGATGTCAATTTATTACGGTGGAAATGGAACGGTTACGCATATCCTTCTTTTCATTTTTTTTTTTAATAATTAATCAATATCTTATGTTTTGTAGAAAAAAAAACAACTAAGCACTGATTTCAAGTGATTGTCACTTATTTCGCACCATTTAATTTTAGGAAGTGCTTTTCTGAGATCAGACTTCTTTATTAATAAATTGATAATGCAATATGTGTATCATAGGTAAGTACCATCATTAAGCACAATAATTATTATGTCTAAACTGATATGAAAATACAACTGTGATGAAATTTTTTTTCAAAAAAAACGAAGAGTGCTCGATTTTTTCCTAAACTGCATTAATGCCTTCTACCAACAGAATCTGTCGAATGGAAATACCCGAAAATCAAATCATATCGTATTCATATTATTCCTAGATTGAAATAATAATTTATGAATGAATAGCAGAAAATTATAAGCTTCAAGAAATTTAAACATTTGTGGTAATTCATTTTCGACACGACGTGGGTCGTAACATAGCAATTTGAAGCAATGAAAGTTTTCTCCACAGTTATTTCAATTACTTTGTTTTATCTTTATCCAATAAATGTCTGAACGTTCACTGCAACAATTTATTGAACTTTAGTAGTAAATGCATTAGATACAGCTTAAAACTGTATCACATTTATCATATACATTAATAAATCAAATTATTTAATCCTAAATAACATTGGTTCTTAATTAGTTTCAAATTTTTTGAACGAATTTTGCACTTTCTTAATACATTTGATTAGTTTTTGCATTTGAAAAAGAAAAGCAGACTTGATTTGCCGCAAATATTTAAAATATGATCATTAGGCAGTCGTTTCTTGGAGCAAAAAAGATCATTTAGTGCGGAATACAGTTAAGTTTTGGAGTTGTTTTCGTTTTCATTTTGAAATTCGTCGATATTTATTGACTGTTATACCGACGGCATTTGTCAGTAAGTGGGCCAGAAACTGGATAAATTGTTCCGACAAAATTTTTGCCTTGTTGCATAAAGTTATAACTAGTAACAATGAATGGACATTCATCCAGTTGAAACTGAAAATAGCTTTAATTTAACTTTAATTTAAAAACTTTGATTTCTAAAGAAAAACTTTAATTTAATTAGAAACTTTAATTTTTAGCCAGAAAAAAAAAATTTCAATTTAATTCATCAAAGAAAACCTCAAATAATGACATTGCATATTAACTTTTCCCTTAAATTACTTGGATAGCAGTAATTATTAACAGAATTAAAACCATTTTTAATAATTCCTAAATTACTGAGCTTACCTTGCAAGTGTTACGTGATTGACGTGTGAGAAAGCATAGAGTATAAAGAGCTAGATCAAATTCCGGACTTGTACCTATGAAAAATGAGCCAATGCGCTTAAGATGATTATGCCAGGTAAATTTCACTGCAGCCATGATATTCTACAAAAAAAAAAAAAAAAAAACTTCCACTTCATGAATATTTAATTAATTGCTTCTTCTCTTTATATAACATTTACTCGATGAAACAATTAAAGAAAAGGCATCTAATCAGCTTCTTTTTATTAAAGTAATCACATTTAAAGTTAATTTTTGCTAATGTTTCTAATGTTTATCTTATGCAGATGAAAAGAAATTTCTTGATTATTTTAATACACACATTTCCGAAACCAATTTTGACAAGCAAAAATAGTCTGATTGTCAAGATCGATAGATATATTTGGCACCAGTCTCTCTTATGAAATTATCAATCTGTCAGATATCAATAATTAATCTTGTGAAATTGCAAGCTATGTTGATAGTACTCTCCAGTAGAATCTGCGAAGTCAGATAAATCTCAACTAAAGGGTCAGAGAAAGTGTGTCCATGTACCTAACTTTAGAGCAATCATCTTAAGAAATGAACAACTCTGATTTCAAACTGGACATGGTTATCCCACGATAATATTCCAAATAAAGCTACGACGATCTGATGATTTAGTGAATTTCAGGTATAAAGGATGAAACAGGCTCCGCACACGATGCTACGAATCTAAAAAAGTCTTTGCATAGACTCGTAGGATATGGTCAGTTTCATAAAACCCTGTAACACGATGTACAGATCAAAGAACTATTATCCGATAACAGCTAACGAAATCATCTTTTGTTGTAAGGAAAATAGCTTTTCGTTTTGCATGTGGTAAACTTCAACAGAAATTACGGGATATTAAAAGCTAATGGTTCAGTCATGAGCAGATGTCGACGATCATAGAGGACTCCGCAAAATTTTGAAAGCACAGTATGGATCAATATATCAGCTCTTATAACTTTCTTACAGATAAACCTTCTATCTCAACCCATTATTTGAACACTTTCAATCTCTTTTCAGTGTCCACCATTCAGTTAAAAAATTATTAATTTATCATATCAGCAATCAGTGAAAAACTGAACTGAACCTTGGAAAATCAAATGAGAACATCTGATTTTAATGGAATTCCGTCCGAAACTTATAAACACGGAAGTCACTTATGGAAAGTCTTGCATTAGGCTATTCCATCCAAGTCCTTCAAAGTGATCGCTCTGTTGCACGAAGATCAGCGCAAGGTTGCATTCTTGCATCAATCCTATTCACATAATTCAGCATTGCGTTTCCTTGGATGTCACACAACCACTTGGCCAACATTAGTGTCCAAAGAACCACAACAAATCTTGACAAAAAAGCACTATTTAGTTCGATATCGGGAGTTTATGCGAATGGGTCATCTACCGTCACCATTTGCAATTCCTTGAACGATACTATCAAAATTGACTTTCGCCATTCTAAATATTCACCATATTGCCCTTAAACCAGTATTAATGTTCTCGAACAATCAGGCTACTGCAAACAGAACCGAAACAATCTTTTAACCTAGGATACATCGGCCACTTATTAGCAGAATTCAGCATAAGTCTCACTAATCTCCAAATAAATTACAAAATATAACAAATAAAACTGTATTATTGCATAATACTAAAATTCGTTTTAATTGAACATTTTTTTAAAAGAAATATAAAGAAATAATTCTTAAAGAAATATGTTCCAAATTGCACCTCATCTCATACAAGTTGCATCTTATCTGCCTTGTTAAGAAGTTTTGAAAAAGAAAAAGTTAAAAAAAGCTATGTGTTTTGTTTAATGTGCAAAGGTTTTCTAATCTAACAGTCATTCTTATGAGCAAATGATCTTATGTTAAAGTCCATATCTTACTATATAAAAGGTAAAGACCATCCGACAGTGACAGCTCTTTACTTACTGTAATCATGCGCTTTGTTGTAAGCTAATCCCTCCTCACATATAAAAGCATTTAAACTCCTTGTCTTGCTCAGTTCTTTGGTTTTTTGTTATGGTTCTGCTGTTTTCTCTCTCTCTCTCTCTTTCTTCCTCGCTCATTTAATTCATTTCGATTCTTTAAGTCCCCACCAATCTATTCATTTTCTTCATCTCATATTCGCAGGCAAATACTACGAATCTATAAGTATATCCAACTTTGCATCGTGATTGCTAGCAAACAAATTCGTTACAATAGACCTTTCACTCAACGCATCTGTCTATACTAGCTACAAAAACAAACGAGGAAGGCTCTTGAGCATATGAAAGTGTAAACCGACTTTAAGTTACAAAAGTCTAAGCTACAAGAGTCAGAAGCTGCAAGTTTCACGACACTTGCAGTGGTTCACTTTGATCTCTAACGAATAAGCACCATCTGAAGCGGAGCTACCGTCTTTGAAAACACATATAAGACTTATCACGTGAAGAAAAGAAAACGAAAACGTGTGAAAAACCATGCCTCGCTAGCACTTCTGATCTGATTTTTCGTTATGTTTTTTTTTGTAACAGAACTAGCATATCCCTCATTGGTGTTTTTAGCCATCAGTGTGTTTGCTGCAGACGTAAGTAAATCCCTTTACAAAATTTCCAATCAAGCCATGAATCCTCCTTACCATTACATCATTTTCATATACAAGCATAATAAGTTACAAACTCACAAATCTTTTAATGACATATCCACAATAATCGAACTCCTCTGAGGCATTTCTTTCTAGCAAATAGAATCGTAGCCATGAATGCATTCCACTCACTTCACCATCTCTGTGCTAAATTTTAATTATTCAAATTTTCGTCAAAAATAAAGAAAAAAGGAGCAGGTGATCCGTTTTATCGTTAGTCACATTGAATGGATTAAATGGAATAAGTGAAGCTAATAATAAAATGGTCACTCTATAGTTTGATGTATGCTAGGCTCGGCGTGAAATTATATTACCATGAGAAATCGTTGAACTGACTACATTTAGACAACTAAATTTTGTTGTGAAACTTATGATTGATAAAAAATACCTCTCCCATAAAAACATGCTTGAATCCAGATGAACTGTAACCTTCACTTCGTGAATATTCCGTAAACCATAATTGTTTAATCTTAGTTCGGAATGTTAGCAGATTTTTTGAATATGGATGACCTTAAATCTTCGCAATTGTTATTTCATTATTTTTTAAATTGAAATATTTATTCGGAATTGTTTACATTATTCAGCGACATTTCTTTGAATCTGCCTGGTTTTATTGGACGATGTACGGAACTTAAAACAAATGGATGATACTTTGCTCAATTTCGAAATATTTAAAACAAATTTTACCTTTTCGGTGCAGAAATTGATAAAGACTTTCCCACACAGTGGTATTAAAGACCGTATCAAGAAAATCATCAATAGCTCTATTCTTCTGAAAATATCATTTTTTGACAAATAGAAAAGTTTATAATTTTATAATTAAAATTAACTCTATATCGTAATATTGTTTAAATTGCGTGTTTTTTTTTTTTTTTTTTGAAATTTAAATAAGAAAAACATTTTAAATTTTAATAAAAACATTTGCTCATTCTTCTTTCCCGTCACTTTTATATTTAACATTTTATTGCATTTGAAAAGAAATTCAACAAGTACCCGAGATTTAAATAAAGCAAATTAATACCGTTAAAGAATTCTCTTTAACGCCAATTTCTGAATGGTATTCATTACTCAGAGCAATCCACTTTCGGTATGTATCTTTTTTCAGTGAGACTGGATCTATCCATTTAAATAACCTAAAAAGCGACCGTTACCAAATTTTCAATTAACGAACTGCAAAAGTTTTATTGAAACAATAAATTTCATACAACAGTTTTTCGCTCGCATTAAGCAGTTAAATCATTGATCTCTTTGTGCATTACAACTCATGAACAATTGCTGAAATGTTCTCATTTAAAATAAAATCTGGAAATTTTGGAAGATTCTCTATTATAATCAATTATGATCCTATAGTGAGTTTTATCACTAATCAGAACCGAGAGATATAATGGAAATCGGTAATGTACACGTATAATATCATAAAAGGATGGATATATGATCAACAAAAATTTTTTTTAATTTCTGTAGTTAATCATGAAATTCGTTATGGAAAAAATAATATTTATGCAATTTATAATGCAGAAATGTTCGTTTGCATTTCTTCACTTTATTTCTCTTCGTTAATAATTTTTCCACTAAAAAAAATTCTTCACTAGTAATAACCTTCTTAGGGCGTTATCAGTAGGATCATGAGTTACCGTATGTCCCTGATAATCCAGAATTACTTTTCCATTATCAATTTTATTGACATCTTGTTCCCGAAATTTATTCACCATGCTCGCAATTTCGCTATCCAGCACCAAAGATCCTAGTTCTTCAATTAATCCTTTGCAATTAAAAAAAAAAAAAAAAAAAAAAAAAAATCAATTAATTCTTTGCAATCAAAAAAGAAAAACGAGCAAAATAAATAAGTAATCCATATTACATCAAATTTTTTAATGTTTATATTTTAACATGTGATTTTACATTCATATTGATACCTGATTTTCCTGTTCCATTGAGACTGTCAGATAAAACTGTAATTAAATACAGGAATGAAAAAAACCATACAGCAATGACCATATTCCTATAAAATTGTTTGATATGCTTATCATATGTATACGAAATATTGCACCTGATGATCTGTTACACCTGATCTATTGCATCTGATGATTACACTAGATGATCTATTGCCTGATATATTGCATCTGATCTATTACACTTGATGATCTACTGAATCTAATGATTTGAGATTCAGGCTTTTTCATTTGTTATAGTTACTGAATACTATACTAAGATATACGACCTGTTTCTATGATTATCTTCTCTTCATAAATTTAGTTAGAACTAAATATAACTTCTAAATGAATAATTATTCAAAATGAATGTTCATATGTGAAGCCTAGAAACCTAAAACAATATCCCTGTCTCAATACATTCCTAGAAATCATACCACAAAAAAATAAATCATATTAAATAATAAAAACTATCAAAAACAAAAATTATAAACCATAAAAAGTAAAGACAAACCTTAGCAGTATGATAGAATTCAGTAACAAAATGAAATATCAAAATAGAAGCATACCTGTATGACAGATGCAAAAATTTACTATAATAAAATATATTAAACATCAGATAACAAACAAAATATGATAAATAAAAAATTAGAAAATCAAAAACTTGTATTCAAACTTGCAATCAATATGCTAAAGAGAACCAATAATTCAAAACTAAAAAAAAAAAAAAAAATTTAACGAATTCCTAATAAAAAAAATTCAGAAGGCATAAGAAAAATTTGAAGGAAAAAAATCATACTAACCATTTCCAGTTTTAAACGTTGCATATCTTGAAATAAATTACATTAATAAAATGCTTTTATATAAAAATTAATCATTCAAATATTATGGTTACAATAAATCATTTTAAGCTAATTTTTCATCCCTCAATTTAGCATAATTTCTTATGCCTCTTCTTTTAATAAAATTTCCATCTTTTTCCATAATGTTAAAAATACCGAAATCAAAAGCACATACAAATATTCCTTATCTTTTTGTGTAATCGTATCAGATGTTTCTTAACAGCTTTTTTTTTTACGTAGCTATCTTTGTATCCGAGCAGATATATCAAATATCGTAAATCATTCCTGTTTCCAAAGAGCTAAAACTTTGCAAATTAACCTAGATCTAAACTTATTGTGGTATCTATAATCAACATGGTGATAACTATAAATTGAAGTAACCTTTTTTTTAAATCTTTCAACATGGCCCAAAACGAAAAACTTTAACGTAGTTTTTTATTTTTTGTTCATATAACTATCTTATCTTTTGTTCAATCTTTGTATCTGATCAAATATAACAAAATATTCTAAATTATTCCTATTTTGACACCTGCAAGGAAAAAAAGTACCCAAGAAAAAACTCAATAACAATATAATGATTAACAATAGTCTTATCATTAACAGGATTAATAATACTTTACTTCAACACATTTCTAAAAGTAGTAAAAGTTACATGCAAATATATCATATCAGGTAACAAAAATCAAAATATATGATCTGAGACATTCATTTTGCAATTATTCTTCTTCCATTTATATCAAATTCCACAAACCAGTATAGCTGTATAATGAATGTCTCAGTTATTTAGGCCTTTTCATCTGCAATAGTCTCTAAAGTAAGGTCAAAATGTTTGAATGACTAAATGCAAGATTTTATCAGAGTTAAATGATACAAGCGATGACCACTTATTTATAATTTTTGCACATTAAATATATTTTTAAAAAAAGTCTGCAAAGTAAAAGTTATTACTCAGTTCAGTAAGATAATTTTCCTTTTTGAAAACACTAGCAAATAGCAAAATTTATATTTTCTAACAAAATAATGCAAAATGCTTGAAAAAAAATTAATCCATCTTTATTGATATGCTTCATTTATGCACATAAGTAATAGCTCCATGCAACATATGTAAGCTTAGCTTTGTGGTTTTAATCGTTGATTTTTTTTTTTTTTTAACAAAGAAAAAAGTTCATTTGAATCAATAATGATAGGAGCTAATGTAGCAATCAAAACATTCATGTTTGAATACATTTCTGAATAGTATGATACAATAAAAGTTTAATAATTATCTCCTACTTATAAATTTAATTAGAAGCAAATTTAGTTTCTAAATGAAAATTATAGCTATCATTTTCCAGGCTAAAAATTAACGTCTTTTTAAATAATAAAAGTTTAATTAGGTCAGTAAATTCTACTTCAATAACGCAGCAAATAGCCAAAAAATGAATGTTAAATTTGATTAAAATTCAAACAACGATAAATAGCATTGACGTAAAAACTGTGATAGCTAATAACACCATACGGTTGAATGATAAATTGAATTGCTTTTCGTCTTAACATTGATAAATGATGGTGAAAATGCACCTTATGTCCACAAGTGTATGCTTCAAGAAAATTAAAATTTTAAAGCTAAAAACAATAGTTCACTTCAATTTCAGTTATTTTTTTCGTCTTAGTAACTATAAAAACAACTGCTTCATTTCGGATAAATTGAGCGATAAAAATTTTTAAAATATCAGTAATTTTTAATTGAAATAAAGCTGACTTGACAAATTTAATTATTATTATTATTACTATTATTGTTATAATAATATCATTTAATAAATTCTATAAAAGTTAAGTTTATTGTCTAAAATTTTTTTTTCAATTGATTACTATTGTTTATTACCTAAATGAAATAGGTTTAACGTATTTGATGATAAAAATGAGAAAAAAAAAAACTATCTCAAAAGAAAAAAGAAAAGAAATAATTGTTTGATAGAGATAAATGCAATATCATTATCATTTGCAATGAATAACTATAGTTGGAGTGGAAATGAGGGGCTTAAATCTCTGCGTATGGTCAAGCAATTATTGATTCATTTAATATCAATAAGAAAAATCAATTGCCAAAAAAGAGAAATCTTGCGAGAAATACCTTTGTAAGTTATTTCTGACAGAAAAAAATTTAAAAATTCCAGAAAATAACGAAACAGCGACACTATTTAGTTATTTCAGCAAATTACTTCTGCTAGATTAATACATCAAAAACGCATCAGCGACGAAAAAAAAAAAAAAAAGAATAAAAGTTTCTTGCAATTTTGTTATGATAAGCAATAGTAGGTTACTTTTTTTTAATTTGGTTGAAATTTATGTCTTAAAATCTTTCGCTTTATTTCATTTCTAATTTATACCATAATTCAACTTTTTTTTTACAATACAAGTTAAATCATTTTTTTACAAAAAGATTTCAACTTTCTTACAATACGAAAAGAAATGAAATTAAAATGAACTGATATTTGGAATTTAATCTATAATTTTTTGTTATATATTAATTTATCATGGTATGAAGAAGTAATAAATTTAAATATAATATTTTACAAAAGAAAATACAAATACAACAAAAACATACAATATTTTTCACTTTTTTTCTTGAGTTTAATCAGTTACATTAAAATGAAGATAAAGAGCAGAAGAAAGATGAGGGAGAATAAACTAAAATTTTAAATTTAAAATTAACTATTATTAAATGTTAAAAGATCCTTATGAGTGATATGATAACAAATTGACATTAAAATAACAAAGCCTCTTCTTTATGTGACCCCTCACATAATTATGACAGTGAGTGTAATATAAACAAAAGAGAAAAAAGAACAATAGATTACATTCGAAAAATGAAACTGGGTGTGACAAACAATAATTCCACACCAATTAATTAAATAATGATAAACAGCAATACCAAATCAATTAATTAAATAATGACTAATAATAAATCCAAATCAATTGAAATAAATACTCAATAAAACTCAATAAAAAAAAAAAAAAAAAAAATTAACTTTTCGTTATAATACTTCCAAAAAAAGGAAAAAAAAAAAAAAAAAAAACAAATGAATAAAAAAATTTTGATGAGCTGAATAATTAATCAGTTAATAAAGATTAACCAAATCAGTAAATTTATGCTTACCCACAATTGATAATAATAAAATGAATTCATTTATCAATTAAATCTTATCAATCACATATTCCTCTCTCTCTCATATATCACAGCTGTTCACTTTTCATCTTCCATTTGTACTTCGTTAAGTCTTCTCTCTCTTTCACCAAGTTTAAATTTCTTGCCCATCATTCCATTTCCTTTTCGCTTTTGATGACATTGTACTTTTGCTTCCATTATTTTCTCAATTCCATATTTTCTTTCACTCATCACTCGATCAAAATATGGTTTAGATTTTGTGATTATATTATGTGACATTTGAATGTCATCCTGATATGGCTGTGATTGCAGTGTTATCTAAACAATATCTATCACATGATAAGTGATATGATTTTTTTATCAGTACTGCAAAAATAAATTTTATTTCTATTTCTTTCTAAATATTTACTTACATTTCTTCTTTTTGTATAAATCTCCAAAAAAAAAAGTGAGAGGGAGATAAAAAACAGCAACAACAACAACGCTGTTTGAAAATTAATTAAATATAAAGATTAAATCAATTATGATAAAATTAATTAAATATGAAAGTTAAAGTAAATGATTTTACTTGTCCACCAATACAAGCCATATAATGGGAATCCATGATATTATCATCAATCTTTTTTTCATTTTTAATTTGCTTAACTATTTCTTCTTGCCTATTATTTATTAATCCATTAAAACGAGTCTAAAATATATATCAGCAATTAAAATGAGTGCAAATTGCTTTATATAATATTTAATTTTTTTACCATAATTAAAAAATTAAATTTTATCTTTATTTCTTCCTAAATATTTACTTTTTTAAAACAAGATTAAGCTCTAGCATAACTTTTTTTTTTTTTTTTTTTGCTTACTTTAGGAGTGCGAATTGCAACACAACAAATTTTAGTTATTTCTTTAGCAATTTTTTATTAAACTTTCAATATTAAAAACAGAAAAAAAAAAACTTACATTATTAGCTTTCTTTGCTTTAGCTGCTAACGTTTCACGTGGATCCTGAAATTTTGGTATAGCTGCTCGACTGGCATTTAATTCTTTTTGATTAAATTCTCGACCACCTTTCACTTCCATTACAGCATCTCGATGCTTTCCTGAATATTTTAATAAATACGATTAAACATATAACCAAAATGACATTTTATAATAAATGGAAATAAAGTAAATAAGTAATATGGGATAATATTTGATTTCTTAAATTTAATTCCTTTCTTCACCGTTCTTTTTAAATCTCTTTTTTTTTTTATTTTATTTTTTTAAAATCTTTCCAAGTCTTAAAATCTTGAAACATTACCAAATAGTTGACCATTTTTAGCATCAGGATTTGCTTGTGACCAAATTTTCAATATACTTTCGCTAGTCTGATCACAAACAATTTTATTGATATCTTTTTTTTTCTCACCTTCCTAAAATATATTTCTCTTGCGAAACTGTCATAGAATTATAAATTAAATTATGATTTAAAATAAACTAAAACTTTAAGCCTAAATCTTTAAAAGTATATTTGTTCATAATAGGATCTATTGAAAATGATATTGCTAAAGAAAAAAAATCGTAAATTAATCTTACTTAGATTTCATTTAAGTTATAAACTGATTACACAATCAGTCAATGATAATTTATGTCATTTGATTAATCAATCAATTTAACACTATTATCATTCACTCAGTGTTATTGATGTTAACTGTTTGATATCATAATTTTTCGTCTCAAATAATATAAATTACAGAGCATTCGTGAGAAATAAAATGCATTAATTAGCAAAACATTCAAGTTTTAAATTAGTTTAACAGTGAGAAAAAGGAAACACTAAAAAGATGAAATGTTGTAGGGATTTTGACATTATTCTGTGAAAGAAAGAAGAAAATTGATAAACGATATCATTTTTACCAATAGTTATTTGTAAATTATCATTAAGAAATAAAAACCTAATAGAATCATTTATATTGATGATTACTAACAACTTATCACTAAAAAACCTAGCATAATAATTTATAACGATGTTAATAATTGTTAATAACTTATGATTAATTTTAGATTAAAAAATAAAATGTATGTCCGTGATTACTCACCTTATCCTGTACCTTGATAACATGTTCTCGAATTCCACCAAATGGTGTAAGACCTGCCTGCGATGCAAGTTCCTTATCTCGTAACTGAGGACAATTCATCCATGGTACTACACCATCATTACTTTCGCTTAATTGTTTACTACATTTAATTGTTGTTGCTATAAAAAATAGTAATTTAAAAACAAAAACATTAATTTTGTTAATTAAGTCAAAAAAGTTAAAATAATATTTGCAAAGAATTTGTATAACTCAATTTTGATCATTTTAAAAATAACCAGCAAATTATCAATTTTTTCACAGCAGTACAAAAAATAAATTTTAAATGTATTATATATGTATAAATATTGAAATATATATTTGATGCAATATTCTATAAGCAATAAAACTTTTAAAAGAGAAAAGCAAAAGTGGAAGGAATTATCATTTTTTTTAAGCTTTTCAATTGACAAAAAAAGTAATACAATTCAAGGGGTGCTTTCCTTTTTTTTCAGCTATAAAAAATTGTAAAAACTTTATTACTTTTTTCTTTTTAAAATAATGTAATAGGAAGAAAGAAAGAAGAAAAAAGAGTTCCAAAAATCTGAATAAATTATTTTAAGTTGATTTAATAACAAAATTGATTTATTCTGCTCCTATAAAATATACTAAATTAAGCCTATTTTATCATTTCTTACTTAAATTAATTATTTTTCCTTTCATATCTGAAAAAAATGTTAACTTCAGCAGTTAGTTTTTTGTCATATTAAAGGTAATTCAACGATGAATTTATTGCTTATTAGAATAATTTGCAAGATTTCGAATGCATTTACGATTCTTTGAAAATTTTCTGATACTACTTTTTCTGAAAATTTGGCCTAAGATATGAATTTTAAATTAAACATATCTATATAAACAATGTATTATGAAGTGGTTTTTTTGTTTTTTCTTTTCTTTTTGAACAAAAGAATCTTTTTAAAGCACCGTTTACTTAGTAATTTTCCTGTAAAAATTTAATAATTCACAATTAATGAATCACAAAAAAAAATTAGGGTAGGTCATCTTTTTTTTCTTTAGAAATTTAACAAATTTGAGATTTGAAAGAAAAAATAATGTGCAAATATGATTTATTCAATTACCTTGCTTAACTGAACATCAAATCAATTCAAAAAACTGGTTTAAAATTTAAAAAAAATTCTAAAACATTTGCTTAGCAAACTAAAAATCTCACTTAAAAATTTAAAAGTCGAAGCTATTTAATGTTGTTATGTAAACGATAAAAATTTGAAATGCTAAATTATAAAATAGAATATCTAATTCAGGAAAAGAAAAAAATAGTCGAGAATTTTTGAAAGATAAAACAAAAATTTTCACCCTTACAAATTTGCATCGTTTTAATTTACATATCGTTTTTTTTTTCTTTGTTCAAAAAATTTGAAAAAAAAAACATTCAGTTGAGAAACAAAAAAAAAAATAAAAAAAAGAGATTTTAATTAGTAATACTAATAATGATAAATTATTGATGAATTTTTTAAAAAAAAGTCGTTTTGTAAAATTGTAAAATGACTACTGGCATTTTGGAATAGTACCAAAACCATTAATATTATAAAATTAAAATGAAACCTACTGGCATTTCGGATGGTACCAAAACCACCGGTACCTTTCTGACTGGCATATTTGTTAGTACCATATTCCCATGGAATAACACAAGGTAGGATGATCCTACGACGATGTTTCACTTCTTGCTCTTTTGCATATTCCTGTAGGTCGATATATCCATTGGAATAAAGTGCGCAAAAGTACAGTGCATAAAATTATATGGTAAATGATGCTGATAATGGTGGTTTATCAGATTATTTGGCTGATAATAATAAAAATTATGTTGATAATAGTAGTGTGAGAATTTCAATGGTTTATATTGACAATAGTAATGATTTAAAATAATTGTAATTTTATCAATATATAATAATAATTTTTTAGTGAAATATTGAAAATATTCATGATGATAGGATAAAAATTTCAATATTTTCAAATAATTTATATTAGTTTCAGAGAATGATCGATGTTGATGACTCGAATTAGATTTAAATTCTGAATTATCCATGTTGCTATTCATCATCACTCGTGCTTTTTTTTTACCGAGAATTTTCGAGAAACAACAATAACTGGAATATGACAGATGTTATCAATTCATTACAATTATATTTGTGAGTGGATAATTAAATGCTTCAACAAAAACATTCAAAATAATTAGGTGATAATAATTGTAGAAGGAAAAAATATTCAAAAAAAACTATAATACCTGTCACTAATACAAATTATATTTTGCAATTACAAGTAATCAAATCAGTTAAAAAAAAAAATTGATTAGAAAAAGGATAGAATTTATAAATCATTTAAAAAAAAAATGTAGAAATTTCAACTTCCTTATATTTTATAAACAAAACAACAATAACAACTGTAATTCTAATTCAAATTGTTCAGAGAAATTTAAAATATTAGCTAAAACATTTTTTTACTCTGATATATGCCAGTCCATTGAACAACAGAATCCGCCCTCTTTGTTCTCTTTCTGGATAGATAAGATCAATTTATCAGTGTATTCATCAAACTAGTATTTCTTTGCATGTTTTTCTTTCCTTTTCTTTTTTTTGTTCTCGACATCTGTCCGTCTCTACCGGTACGCACGTATCGATAGCTACACGTGTGTGTGTTTATGTATGTATCTATGTGCATCGTCCCTCAATTTTGAAACAAACAAAAAAAAAAATTTTCTACTATCATAAAATTTAACTTTTGTCTATTACATGCAAACTTCAAAAGAATGTCATAAAGATAAAACTAAAATTATGAAAGTAAAGTATTAATGTTAAAAGAGAGTAAAGTAGTATACTTTAAAAAGAAGTAAAGTAGTAATGATTAAAAAAGTTTTACTTAATGCTACAGGTATAATATCATCGGTAATATCATTATAATAAGAATACATGTTTCAGGCCCATAATTATCATACTTAATGCTTACTTGTAAGGCATTAAAAAAATTGGTTTTTAATACTTAAATTTCAAATTAAAGGATTTTTATTTGAATAGAAATTACTCATACTAATATTTAAATGGTAGCACAAAAGATGTAAAGAATAAGAATAATTCAGTGGAAAAAAAAATGAATGCAAACAAATTTTCGATTTTAATTTTTTCCATAGGTAACCTTAAATCTTCTACTAAATTTTATGGTAAATATAAAATTTATATTTAATCGAGAAAAACGATAAGAAACAACTGTTCATAATTCTAGCAGAAAAATAATATCAATAGTATCAAAATATCATTTCAAATATTTAACTTTAAATAAATAATTTGTCATTTAAATTTACAACACTTTTTTGGGTTGATAATAAAGTATAAAAGACTAATAGATCGAATTTATTTTATTAGATTATTAAATTAAAATATTGAATTTCAGAGCTTCATATGTTTATCATCTTATTTCTAAATAATTAGAAGTAAAAATATTTAAAAAGTTATTTGTTCTAACATTTAAAAGAAATTCTGTTTCCTGAAAAGATTGAAAAATCAATCCTTTTTAAATGATTGAATTTATGTTGAATTCTAAATACGAAAATTTACTTCAAAAAACATTAAATAACAATTTAAAGAAACACTAAATAATGATATGAATTAAATTACAAATTGTGATTATTACAAATTATCACTGATTGCTAATATGTTATATTGCCTGTATCAAATTTATTAACTTATTTACTTTAGTATAAGATTTCTTAGCATATATTTTTTTAATGATTAGGATTTATAGCAGAAAACTAATGATTTCATCAAATAATTAAATATTAACTATTGTCTGTTGATAATGATGTTTTAAAACAATTAAATTTTGATTTTGTTTTGAAAATTATAAATATTTGACTATAATTTACCATAATTTTCGATTTTGATTATGTTTTAATTATTATAAGTATTTGATTATAACTTATTGTAATCAATAAATATTTGCTTTTGATTATGTTATAAAACAAGCTATTGTAAATTTTTGATAATAATTAATTTAAACTAACCGTTTTTTTATCCATTCTATTGTCGTGTCTTTCCAAAAAACTCCCTCTCCTTCTCCCTCCCTCTCTCTGCTTCTCCCTCTCTCCGATGTTAAAATGAAAAAGAAACACGTAATATATTCTTCGTCTGTAGATTGTTTGAAATTGAATAAATTGTTAATATTTCGTTAAAAATGAAATTTCATAAAATGCTGGAAGTGGTTGTCATTTTAACTTTGCCACTGTCATACCATCAAATCTTTCCAATTTTTATTTACTTTCACCAGCAAATACTCTCAGCTCTTCTCTGTGCTATCTAAACAATCATAAGTACATATGTATGATAAATTTTTGCTATCAAATTAAAATTAAATTATTATTATGCGCAATACATCTTGTCTCATCGATAAATGTGTTTCAAAAATAATTTTTTTTAATAAAAAAAAATTCAACTAATTATTTCACAATATTTCATGGTGAACAAAAAGAAAACATAAATGAAATAAGCAGATGTTGTTGTATGATAAATTTTTCTTTTTTTCATTAAAAAAAAAAATAAAAAATAAAATAAAATAGAAGTAAAATAAAAATCAAAATAAGGAAAATTAGGAAAAAGCTAAAAAAATGAAAACATTGAATTTTGGAGTTAAGCTGAAATCTTATAAGAATATAAGTTTATTATAATAACTTTCAGTGACATTTATATACAACTCAAAAACAGTTATACATTGGAAAAGAAAAAGTAAAAATAAGGAAAAATATTTGGGAAATTAAAATGGTCATAAGTGAGCAATAAAAGATGAAAAAATTGAATATAAACTGATTTATTTTTAAACGATGCGTGTAATCAATCATTTTTATCTTTTATGAACAAAAATGAAATAAATGTGAAGTGGCAGAGTATTTTATACGATTGAAGTGATTGGAAGAATAATATTTCAAATATTTTGAGATTTCATCAAGAAATAAACTTTTTCATCATTAAATGTTTTTTTTTGAATTGAAAAAATTAAGATAAATTAATTTTTTCATATAAAGAAAAAAAAAACAAAACCAATGAAAAAGAGCAATAGACTTATAAATTTCAGAATGAATATAAAGTAGACGATTGAAAAATAGTTGCTGATAGTAATATATCAGCAACTATTTTTTCTAAGTAATATAAATGAATGATAATGATATGAATGAATTGGTTTCGTGATAATGATAATAGAAGTGAGTAGAATTCACTGAATTCATTAATTATCATGAAAGAAATTTTTTCAAATCTTTTAAATTAATGTTTATGGGTATGTATTATTTTGCTAAAAATACCTTTTTAATAGAATAGTAAAGAAATAGAATTAATTGCTTGAAGAAATAATTTAGATCGAAATGTCTAAAATTACAAAAAGAGAAAGACTGAGGAAGCCAAAAGATGAGATGAAATTTCCTTTATATGTCAACTAAAAAAATAAAAAAAAAAGATTAATGCTGATAGTATAAAATAGCTAAAGGAAATATAGTCTAATGATAACAATAAAATTTTAATTAAATATGAAAAATTTCATTTTACACTTAAGATAAAAAAAAAATTTATCATTTTCAAAAGCTTATTTCCTTTTTTTCGACTTATGCAAATTTTTATATGAAGTAAACATCTCTTAGTCTAGCCTACATAGCCAACAAATTGAAAATCATCAGTGCATTAGAAACATTAGCAATAAAAACCATTTTTACAAACATACATCTCCACTACACAGCTCAAATCTTTATGATGTTCGTTTGGCTAATTTTGTGCAAGCGAATTGAGATTCACTAATATCTTGCATTTCTGAATCGATAACAGTAATAGTTTCTCTTTCTTTATATATATATATATATATATTAATCTACTTCCATTTTTCTTTTTTAATTTTTTTTTTTAAAAAAAAGTTAGAATTTCTTTAGTTTTCATGAAGCGAAAGCTGAATTTGTTTTATTTTTTTTTCTCGAATATGTTAATTTCGATATAAGAGTATTGATGAAGTCTTTTTTTTTATAAAAAAAAAGCTCAGAAGTGAATCTGTAGATTGAGGATTAAACGAATATGATAGTAATTAATTGGTTAATAGTCAAGTAATTTGACTAAATTCATTGAATTATTAAATTTTAAACATTCAAAGTGAAAAATTTTCATGTGAACAAGGATAGGAGAAAAAATTAAATGGAATTTAAATTAATTTTTTAAATTAATTTCTATGAAATGAATGACAAATGTAAAATTTCTCTTGAGGAAAACAAATCGAACAAATGTTCTAAAATAGAATAAGTATTTAAATTTGGAACAAATAACACAGATCAATTTATTTAGACCAGAATTTCTTCTTTAAAATAACTTACATTGAAATATTATGAGTGGACATGCTTAAAAAAACAATTTAATGTGAAGAATTTAAAAAAAAAAACACTCTTAGTAATGAAATATTTTTCATTTAGATTTCATATTTAAAATTTTAGCGTTATAATTGAATTTAAGATGAAAAGAGAAACAGTAAATTCTAAAAATTTATTGGTGATCAACAGCTCAACAAATTATTCGTTATATAAATGAATCAGTAAACAATTTTAAACTTTATTTGCTATGTTTATTTACTTAACCATTGATCAATTTAGACCATTATAATTTCTAAATTATACCAAATACTAATCAAATGATCATTTCATTTTATATCTTTTTTTTTCCTTACTTCTATTTATACCAGTAACTGCTGTGCATAAATAATTTGTAATAAATTCATCAGCCTTTAAAGCAAGAACAATTTTATCCTTTTCTTATATTTCGAATCATTTGACCTTATTGTTCATTGAGTTTAAATTAAATTCATTTTATTTATCAAAATCATTTAGCACTAAAATACACAGCTATGAAGACGACGATTTAATCCTATAATAATAGTAAAATATGAATAGAGCAAAATGTAAAGTTAATTAAACAAAATTTGATCAATAACGATTGCTAAAATGAGCTAAAATGTAGTTTAAAATTTGTAAAAAAGAATAGAAATGCAGTGACATAAGGCATACATAGCAATTAATAGAATTGAAAAATGTTTTCTTTTTTTTTCAGATCGATAAAAAAATGAGGATGCAAATGAAATGTGCACAAATATATGCTTTATGAAGCCAATCCAACAAGGAAATTATTCGTAAATTTTGCTAAATGTCTTGCATGCACATCTCATTAAATAGCTTTAACTTTTTTTTTCGAGTTTGATTAATTTGTATAGAAATTGAAAATTATAAGCAAACTATTAATTTGTTAATAATTAATTCAGCAAATTATAATATTAATGAACTACTTCTTGGTTACCATTAACTTCAAACTATTAAATTGTTGATAATTTAAATTCATTAATAATCAATTAAGTCAGTAAATCATAATATTATTAAACTATTTTTTGTTATCATTCGTTTTTTTTTTTTTTTTTTGCAAAAATTAGAAATCATTCTGTCAGTAACTGATGATAAATCTCAAATGTTTTTGATGGTTCAATTTTAATGCTACATTGTAGCAGAGATGATGAATCAAAATAACAACAAACCTTTACATTCCAGTCGATGTTCAGCATCTTTACATTATTAAAGCTTCCTTATCATTATAAATAAAAAATGAAATCAAAAATTTTCTGCAATTACTTTTTTCGTTACATAGACAATATTCTATGATGCATTACATTATAATTAGGAAATAACAAGTTTTAGTAAAAAGTAACAGTAAGCTAACTGATGAATAACTTATACCAAATAAAAACATAATATTTCTATATGGGATCAAGTAGCAAAAGTGGCCATCTCAAAAGAAACAACTGTTACAGTAATAATACACATATCAGTAATGAAATAAAATCAATCGTTTCTAATTTTTGTTGTCTCGAAAATGAAACAAATGCTTGACCTATTTAAGAGCAATTATCAATTTATTTCAAAAACAATATTGGAAAAGATTGAAAATATTGCTAGAAAGGATGATGATGATGATGACGACGATAATAATGATGATGATGGTGATGACGATAGTGATAACGGTGATAGTGATGATGATTATGATGATGGTGATGCTGAATGATACAGATTAATAATAAATAAATAATAATAATAATAATAATAGTGATGGTGATGATACAACAAGAAAAAGAAGAGAAATTCCATAGAGCCATTGAAACTGGTTTTTTTTCCAATGAGAATATAATGATTAGTTGAGTGATGATGAAAAGACGAAGGATGTATTTGAGGAAAAGAAATAGGAGGAAGAATTAGACTATGAAATTGTCACCATTTTCATCATTCTCTTTTGAAACATTTATTTTCAGAATTTTCTATTAGTTTCTTTTATTAAATTATATAAAATGACAGTTTATCGTTTTTTTTTTGACACATATTTATGAGACATATGATCCAAATAATCACCTAATTTATGATTTAATTTAGAATCATTTCTGGATTGCAATTTTGTGATCATCCAATATGCTGTCAATAATAATAAAATTGTTATCATAATGAATGAACATAATCAAATTATTATTATTATTAGAGTTATCATTGTTTCTCATTGTTATTTATTATCATTATATTTTATTATTGCACCAGTGAATGATTAGTAGCGCTTGGAAAAGGAAAAGAGAAAATAAACAGCAAATGTTTGAAATGCATTATCAAATGAAGAAGTACTATTTGCTGATCTTTCTTCTTTCATCGTTATCAAATCGTGAATTCTTTTTCCTTTCATCACATAATGTAGGAAATAAAATCATAATCCAAATTTTTTAACAATAAAATTAAAAGAAAAACACAGCAATATGCAAATATATGAATTAGAAAAAGAAAGATAGAATGAAGACAATCACGCACGTTCGAACTCGTTTTTTCTTTCCATTTAAATCCAAATTTAATTTCTATAAATTTTGTACATTAAATTTTATGCAAGTCTTTATTCTCAATTCGATTTCAGTTCTTTTGTTGTTTCTCGTTTTTTTTTTTTTTTCTTGAAGCCTAAATGGATGATAGATTTGTCATCCAAGTCAATTAGAAGCCAAATATTCGAGAATGTATGAATGGTGACAAAATCTGAGAGCTTTAAAATTTCAAACATTTCCCATGTGTCATCCCATTTAGATTTTTCACACTATCAGGCTGTAAAAGAGAATTTAGGTCATAGAAGTATCTCCTGTTCTCGGTCACAGAATTAGTCTATATGTTATTAGATGGTGAGGAACAATGGCTAAAGTTTGTAAAGGATTTAGCTGATTGTTGAAGTTCATTCTTATTCGTAATCTTCTGCAGTGTTATTCTTTCTTAAAAGTTGGAAAATTATTCTTCCTCGAGAGTTAAACCTTGATAATTTTGCCATTCTCATAAAAGATAATTGCTTTACATAGTATAACGATATAAGCTGTGCTTTTATAAACATATTAAATTAAAGGCAGTGTTTGATACTTTGGAACTGAATATTTTTTTTTAATTTTTGCATTTCTTGATTTACATAGAGTAAATTTTTGTTTCAAAATTTAGACAATGGTACGGCCGAAATTTCGTGCTATTTTGTCAAAAGTTCTGCAAGAAATGTCGCATATAAGGTAATCTTGAAATTTTCAATTTCAAATAGGATCAAGTAGAGGAATTCATATAGTCCCTTGTAATTACAGTTTGATAATGTCGTTGGATAACAGTAGATGGATTTCTAGAGTAATTTTTACCAGAAGCATTATGAGAGACTTTGCGAGTTAAATATAATTTATGGGATTCTTTGTCCTGTCCTTCACCGAACGCTTTTTTGTCATACTAACGAAGTACCACCTACAATAAATTTAATTACGCACAGTCTCATCATTTTCTGTCTTTGACAATTTTTATTGTTAAATCATTCCTAAACTCAAATGTTAGCATTTTATCAAATGTGCACAATATATAATGGTATCATTTGTTACAGGAATTTCTCTTCGAAAGGGAAGAGGGGATCAATAACTTCACATTATGCTACTGCTTCTCCACTTATAGGAAAATTTGATGTATGTTTTCTTTTCTTATTGTAAAATTTAATTAGTCACATAATCATTTAAGCAATTTATCGGATCTTTAAAAGTAAAGAAGGAGCTGTAAGTTGGTATGGAAGATTCAAGTTTTCAACTATGGACCTATTTTTGCAGATTTCTGTTGATGTCAATAACGTGTCATTACGGGAGCCAGTACCAGGACTTTCAGAAGCAAAATATTTAAAGCAAACTGACGTTAAACCATTCGATACAAAATTAACATTATTAGAAAATGGGCTTAAAGTAGCTACTGAACCTCACTATGGAATGTACTGCACTGTTGGAGGTTTGTTCAGTTTTTTTCAAGTGAATATAACTGCATAAGTTCAAACAGAATCAGCACTCACCCAATTGGTGTGGCTGAACACAGGTCTTCTGAAACTGATATATTCCATTTGTAGAATTTTTTTATGTCCATGTATTATCTTTTTTTTTTTCAGTTGCTAGATTCCAACGTTTATTAACTTTTTTTTCTTTTTTTTAAAATTAAAATTGGTAATTTGTCATGGCATATTTTTAAAAATGGCTTTACAGTTGCCATAGACGCTGGTTCACGTTATGAAGTTGGCTATCCATTCGGCACTTCTCATTTTATCGAAAAACTAGCTTTTACGGTAAATATATACTCACGCAGCTATATTTGTTTGCAGTTCAAATTTCACTGAAAACTTAACTTTCCTGCTCCTTCTGCCACTTCATTAAAAACTATCCCCATTTCGTGAAGAATGATTGGAGTACGAACAAATTCTAATGCTTTTTGTGCAAACGCAATGATATATTCAGAATAAAAAAATGATCGAACTAGATAAGCCTTGTTTTAGGGTACACCATCTTTTCCAAGTAAGGAGGATTTGTTCCGTTTGTTAGAACGGCGTGGTGCTTTAATTGATTGTCAGTCAACGAAAGATACGTTTGTTTACGCATCTTCATGCCAAGTCGATGGTTTCTCTGATGTAATAAGATTGATTGCTGATTCCGTGCAAAGACCAATTATTAACTCAAATGACGTAAAATTTTAATATTAAATATAAGCTGTTGAGGCGAGCAATTTTTAAGATTGCATGCATTCTTTGTAACACTCGAATAATATGACAAAATTTTACAGATAGAAGATGCTCGATTAATTATTGATTTCGAAAATAAAGATATGAATTCAAAACTAGAATGCGAGCCTTTACTTACCGACTGGATACATGCTGTAATTTTTTTATATTTTGACGAATTAATAAAAGTAAACCAATTTTGTGTGAGCTAAAATGCAGTGAATTGAAACCATGTGATTTAGGCTAAACTGTCATTCTGTAAGGTATGAATTATTAACTTTTCTTTTTGCAGGCAGCTTATAACAGTAATACTCTGGGTTTCTCCAGATATTGCCCCGAGGAAAACATAATGAACATAAATCAAGAACATATTTATACATTCATGAAGCAGTACTATAAACCAAACCGCATAGTAGTTGCCGGTAAATATTTTATTTTTTAAACGTCTCATTTTTTGCTGAGTCTTTTTTCTTACTGGTGATACCATGTAAGCATCTTATCATGATTAGACATCTGATAAACTGGCCTATTATAATATAAATACATACTTCACAGCACAACTTTTTAAAATGTTCAACATTTGTTCCAAAATTTTCATACGATGATGGTTTAATGGGTACAATTTTCCAACCAAATGCATTGTACTCATCATATTACTCTTAAAATTTGCAGGTGTTGGTGTTGATCATGATGCTTTAGTTTCTTTATCTAGAGAACTTTTCGATGATTCGAAAACCGCTTGGGCGGAAGATCCGTCACTACTTCTCGAAAAAATGCCTCCACCAGATGATTCACTTGCGCAATATACGGGTGGAGAAAAACTTGTAAGCTTGGTTATTAATATGTATGCCAGTTTCAGTTTTACCACATGTTTTATCGCACATGACTCATACTACCTTAATATATTACTAAATATCGTCTATGGATTCAAATAGTTATGATTTAAAGACATAAAAGGCTGAAAATTTGTCATTCCAGATTGCAAAGGATCTCAGCTCTCTAGCCCTTGGTCCAACTCCGTATCCTAATCTTGCTCACTTTGTTATTGGTTTCGAAAGTTGCGGTTATCTTGATGATGATTTTGTAGCTTTTTGCGTTCTACAGTCATTGATGGGAGGAGGAGGTAGTTTTAGTGCTGGTGGACCTGGTAAAGGAATGTACACAAGGTTATACGTTGACGTCTTAAACAGGTATGAGTTTATTTTATTTTGTCCTAAAATTTATTGCTATGTGTTTTTAAAGTTTTCCCAAAATATCGTATTTCAGGTATCATTGGATGTATAATGCGACAGCTTATAACCATGCTTACAAAGAATCTGGAATTTTCCACATTCAAGCATCTAGCGATCCATCACGGGTTCGATTTTCTGCATAATTTGCTAATTTTTGTCTAATGTGTACATAGTCTTTTTTTTTTTTTCATTTTTAAATCAATTTTTAGATTGATGAGACAGCTCAAGTGATCATTGAACAGTTTTTGCGGCTGCCCGAAGGAGCAGACAAACAAGAATTGGCTCGGGCTAAAACTCAGTTGAAAAGTCAGCTGATGATGAATTTAGAAGTGCGACCTGTTATGTTTGAAGATTTGGCTCGGCAAGTTCTGGGGCATGGTTACCGGCGAAAACCGAGTGAATATGTTGAAAAAATCGGTAATTGGTGTTTATGTATTTTGAATGATATTCGTTTGAAATACGGACCTTCGTTGATGTAATTGTAATTCTTCGATGTTAATTTAGAATTTTGAGAAGTCGATCTTTGTATTCTGACCTAAGGCAAGATTTGATTCAAATAGGTTTATGTTGGACTTAATGACGCGTGTCTTAAAAGTATGCATTTATCAGATCGAATAACAGATAAGGATATCAAGAAGATAGCAGAACGTATGTTGTCGAAACGTCCTTCTGTTGTTGGTTATGGTGATATTAAGCGTGTTCCACGTTATGAATTAGTTGACAAATGTGTGGCAAAGCGACATCTTGGAGAGCTCAAGTCAAAAGGATTTTTTCGTTTCTAAAATGATTTAGGTGCATTTCAGAACATATTGGTACGGATACCGTGAAATGCTGATTTGTTCTGTTTAAAATTTCTTTAAAATAATTGCATCTTTTTTTCACAATATTTATTCAACATTCATTTTTATCCACAATTTTCTTCTAAGTATGTGAACCTATTATTGGCAGTATTTTCACCTCTTTCATGTTGTTGACTTATCAGTTACGACAATGTCTTCTCTACTAACGTATTATTGAAGTTGATGCATTCTTCACACAGGATGACAAAGATTTGATAACGACGAATAGATGCAGCTAGAGTTTTACGGTGTGTTAATAATTCGGTTCCGCAAAGTGATGAAACTAGATTGTGTCAGGGAAGTTCAAATGATGTTATGTTGAAATGTTAATATTTGTAAAAGTTTGTGATCTTCAACTGAATTAGTTCAGTTAAAACAAATGAACTGATAAGAGTAGTATATTAGTATTAAAGATTTATGACTTTATACAGTTGTTGCACATTCTGCATTTTCTTTGGTAATTAATTAATTCTTAGAGAGTATATTTCCGTGTTGTAGAAAACTCTTTGCTTAATAAAAATGTACTTTGATAAAAATGTGAGAATGAAAACACTTCATCCCATCGATGATATAAAACTAACTTAGCTTGTTTTATTTCTGTTCGGGAATCCCTAATTATCGGACGGATAAATAATTTAATCCATAGATTACCTAAAAAAACACTCCTTGATTACCTAAACCTCAGCCAAACATATCTCTCATCTTTCCATTGGTACGATTGTCTGATAAGATCTCACTACTTGGTTATCTTTATTCTTTAAGTGTGTAGTGCGTCGTGTAAAACAAATATTATTCGTGAATAAATTGGAAATGAAAAAAGTTTTTGGATTATACAAGATTTCCGCCTTGCGGAAATATTCTACATTTTAGTATTAATTGCATTCTTTAGATAAAAAAGAGCGGAATTATTTCTTTCCGCCAAAAGACGATTTCTAGGAATTCCTGGTTTGATTGTAGGATGAAACTTAGCAGTATTTACTTGACTTTTAATGTTTGTGAGATTACTTTTTCAGGATCCGAGTTTAGTTATCATTTCCGATTTTCATTTAGTGCAATTGTAAGGCAATACCCAGAATTCCGTTAGCTCCTTTACATTCCAAGTACTGGTTAACACCGAGAAGAACAATGAAGTGCCCAAAATTAATTTCAAGTCCATTTCAGTAGTACAGGCAATTTGCATATTGGAGCTCGCTCGTTGATTACAAACTCCCCGAAAGCGCATAATTTAAATCTCGGAATTTAGTGCGATATGAAGTTGACAAGAACTGAATTACTAGTTTATTCGTGTAATTGTAAAACTAAGTTATTCTTACGTAACTGTGAATTACAAAAAATGTAATGAGTGTAAGAAAAATAATATTTGTCTTTAAGATTCACTTTTTCGATTATGCTCATTAAGCAACACTTTCAACACTGATTGCACGTAGCACTTAATTGTATTGTATAAGACGTTCACACGTTAACATTTGACGTTAACTTACTGAAAAGTGGGAGAGAAAAAGTTATCGAAATTATGCAAAATTAATTTTGGGAATGAGTTCCAAGTAAAAGATTTCTATGACTTTTATTTTGGTACCGATGTCCAATATTGATGAACGTTTTGTGAACATAAAAGTATCTTAGAGTATTAATATTATAGTAGTATTGATCTATTCTGATTAACAACGACGCAATGGCCACTTTAAGACAAAAACTACTGAATAAACAAAATTTCCTTCTGCAATTTCGGGACTACTTATCAATTTTTCTCCCCGAGAAACTCTCATAAGCTTCTGATAGGTATTTCCATTGCCAAACTTTTGAGTATTCCGAGTAGGTCTCCACTTTCCGGAACACCAGTTTTTAACGGTTAGCATAGATTATTAATATATGTATGAAATAGTTATTTTCTCCCACTTCGATAATATCAGTGTCCCCGTTTAAATAACGGGATCGATTTAATTTTCAATCAAACTTTTTCTATTTATCTTTTTCATTTCTTCCAAATATTCCATACGTAGAGTGTAAATTGTTCTAAATCATAAAATTCTAATTCATGTAAGACTGTTTTAAGATTGATTGGTTAAATAGTATAAAATATGTATTTCTTCATTCGATAACATTATGTTTTACGCTTTTTCACTTATTGTTAAATAATTGACATCGAAGTTTGTGATAGAAATGTGGCGGATGAGGGGAGAAAGGAAATGAAGGATAGGAGTGGACAAGGGTCAACTCTTACCTATGTTTTCTTGATGGCATTATGCAGCAGTTGGAGTGATTATCGCTTACCTTAACTTAATATTCCATATTATATATATACATATTTAACGTAATATTTTATATTCGTTTATTTGATCGGCAACTATATGTAGTTATTGCTGGTGATGCCATATACTGATTCTTTATTCCTGTCAATTCCATATTACTTATTTAATTTATCTGCTGCATTGCAAAATTTTATTTCCTGACAGATGATGAATGTGAAATATGTAAAAGTGTTATGCAATATAATAACTCTACTGTCAATACTAAAAATTTATACTTCTTTGGCTAAAAAATCTTCCATCCCACTTTTGTAACTTTATATGCGAATTATTGATTCCAGTACTTCAGCAATAAAATTCCAATTATTTTTCATCCCCGATTACAATTTACTCTAACATTTCTTCTGTATCCACCAGTGCTTTTTTCCCTCCTCCTCCTCCTCCTCCTCTTTGTATGTTGTATAGTGTTTCAAATGATTATCGTTTGTCGTACAATGGTTTATTACACAACAGTATGTACCAATTCTCTTTATGCAATTAGCTTTACCGATAATACTTCAACTTTGACCAGTTAATCAATGAGTTAAAAATTACTGCTACCTTCATTACTGTTATTAGTTGAATTATAGAATGAATAAAAAAATAGAAGAAATAGTGATACTTGCCCGACAAAATATATCAAATCATTATTATGAAAATTACTTCTCTGAATACTTTATCATCTTTCTTCATATTATACCTTCATTATTTCAAATATTAACATATAGTTTAGATTGATATGCAACTTCATTTACCATTTCAATTTAATTTTCTACTGAAATGTATTCAACTCCAACAAACAATTTCGAAGATGAAATCCACACTGCTACAAATAAGTTATGAAGCAAATATCGTAATGATTGATATTGGTGCAGAAATATCGACTTTTTGGGACATTTCAAGATTCATAATAATTGCGCAAATTTGAATTTTTGTAACTTACTGCAGCCTAACACTCTCCCTCTCTCTCCCCTTCTCCCTCTCTCTTTCTCATTCTCTTTTTTTCATCATCCTTTTTATTGTTACTCTAAGAGAATTATGATAGGTTATCTTAGAAAAATATGGTAATTGTGTCAGATGTTTAACAACCTTATCTATTGTTACGTCTGATAATTCGATTTGTGTAATTTCAGTTAACTTTTAAATTCCGAATTTTGAGCAAATTTTTCTCTTTTGAAAAAAAAAAAAAAAAAAAAAAAAAAGAAAATAAGTGCAAAATGAAATGAAACGAATAATTCTTCAGATTTGTTTGCAAGAAAATTCCTCGATCAATTTTTTACATTTCTTGTGATTCCGTGACACTAATGTTTATTTGTAGCCAAGATAGATATATTATCAATTTTTGCTTATAACCAGAAAAAAAAAATATTCGATCATTCGGCATACAAAAAACATTTGCATTGTATATTTTTATTCAACTAATTTACTAACAAGTAAACTACTGATTTTTCTTTTTCTTTTTTTTTGTTGTAATTAAAGAATTGATAAGAATACATTTATCTTTACCACAGCAAAATATGGATAAGATTGGGAACTCTTCACTAAAAATCTACATACTATTAGCATAGACTTTTTTTTCGTTCTTTGAAGCACGTTTAATGCTAACTGGAAATTTGTGCAACAATTTATCGATCATAATTTTCCATAAAATCCACTTTTTGATTTCTCCTTTTATTAATTATGATTCATGTTAAATGTATACTTATTAGGAATCGTTTTCTTTCTATGATTGATCATTAAGATAATCATAATTTACTTATATTGTAATTTATGATAACCTTGAACGACATATCGCCTATCAATATTATCATTCAGGAAACATCTACAATGAGTTTTTATTTCAGATGTAATAGCATGGATTTCAGGCTCAAATTTCTTTGTAATTCTTTGCTCATATTAATCGTATCAACAATATCACTTCAACATTCATACTTCTGCTCTATTTTATTCCATCTTTACATTTAACGGTTTATTTTCATTAGTTTAATTAATCTCAATAATTGAAACTATTTTTAATTTTTTGAAAACATTCACTTCTATTGTATTGTAACAGTTAATTAGGTCGTCCAAATGCTTATTACTTTGATTTAATACGTAAATAACTGGCATTATTTGTGAAATGAATAACATTACTCTAATTTACTTGATTAATTTCATGATAAGGATGGAAAGAGGTCACTTTACCTATCCAAATCTTATGGATTCTTATTGATATCCACTGCCATTTTAATCTTAGTGCATTTTTCTTTTTTCAATTCCAGAATACTTCTATTTCCAGAATTTATTCTGGTCATGTCGTATCTTCCGTTCTTGTCCTGTTGATTAAGTTATGCATATTCAACATTCCCTCTTTTGCAGTGCGGTGTTTATTTTGCTTTCATTAGCGAATAAAACATACCTTTACGATTTCCTGAAATTTAATTCGTCTTTATTCATATCGAACCGTATTCCTCTCTTCCGGAAATCCTCACTTGCATAGTACAAATTCCGATTTACCGAGATTGGTATACGGTAAGTTGATCGCACGTCGCAGTATGAAATCATAATATCCCGGGGTATATATCTTCAGTAATGCCTTAGAATTTCTATTTTTCGGGTGATTTTCATGGTGTATTTTGTACAGAGAAATGTAATTATTACAAAACCGTAGGAAAAAGAAAGGAAATGAGTCAATTCAGGTAAATATACCAAAATTTTGACTAAAAATTGTTGAGAATTAAATAAGCATTCGTTAGTATAAGATGTTTTGGGTCTTTTATTTTTTTTGGAAATCAAATTAAAGCTACTTTTTTTTTTTTTTGTTTCTCTAGTCTTTTGCAAATATCAATAATATCAACGAGTACAAAGAGATATGTCGCGAAGTGTTGATGATTTGGGCCTTCAACAACCTTCTATACCAACCGGAAGATTGGATGGTGTTATTGGTTTAATAGATATATACAACAATTCTACCGCTGAAGTGAGATATTTATTGGCAAACGAATGCAGTATTGTTCTCGAATGTCGGTAAGTTCATTTTTAATATTATTTGAGGATTTGCAGTTATTTGTGTCAATAGTTTGATTTAGTTTGCAAGTTGTGTTGTGTAAGCTTTTTTTATTTTTCCGAAATTAATTGTAAAATGAAAGTTTTGATTTTCGGTGGTAGCATTATAGTTGTTGCGGCAATTTTTTTCGTGATTATTTGGACTATGTGACGCATAAACGTTTCTATTGTCGTATGTCATGTTCAACTGCTGCATCGGCCTTCTGTACTGCTGCCCTAGAGTTTGCCGAAAAAGCACTTGCAGGTAAACACTTTTTGAAAAGAAGAAATATAGGGGATGTTATTCAATTCAAAAATTATATTTCCAAAAATCACTGAAGTTACTGTCAATTAAAATTAAGACACACTAAAAGTGAATCTTTCTATAGTTATACTTATTTATTAGATATTAAGTAAGGAAATCTTGTAGTTTAAAAGGTATATGAAATAGCGGTAGGAACTAAAAATGATATACTTACAATAGAAATAATCCATTTCAGAACTTCGAGACGGCGACCAAAGTAAAAAGGAAAGAACATTACAGCAGCAAAACAGAGGAGAGGCAGGAACATCGTCTGGCACAAAAACCGAATCACAGCCTCTAAAACGCACCAAAACTAATTTCAAACGTACGAATTTTAGCCATGTCGTCAAACACTCAAAACAGTGTTCATTACCGCTGTCGAACACGGAAGTTAGTCCACTTATAGCAACCAGTTAAACCTTGTATTAGCTATCTTGCGGCGCGATATCTGTGTGCGGCGGAATGATAGATTAGAAATTCAAGTCGGTAATTAGGTTAGATCCATTCCGTATGGATTTGTTTACAGCACAATTTGGAATTATACACACTTCCCCGTATCTCTTGTGGCATGGCAACAACAGCAGGGCTGCATGTAACTTTTTCGAAATAGTAGGATGGAATTGAAAAAATTGAATTAAAAAAAATTTAAACCAAAATATGAATGAGGTAAACCTTTCGAGATCATGGAATCAATCCCTCATGCATTGGTAACAGTGGATACGGTACCAGCAGATCGTGTTGCGGTTGTTATTCCCCAGGACAATTCAAGTCGATATCGAGAAATGAATTTGCGAAATCGTAAAGGTGATAGCGCAAAGAATGGTGTCGCTCGGAAAGTCGGAACGGAAGAAGTATTTTATTTTGTTTTTGTTTCTTTTTTTTTTTTTGGAGATCAATTTGCATGGCTTGCAAATCTTTTTAATGTTTTTTTGCAATTTCAGCTTAAAATCTTGGAACGTATGGGCAAATATCAAGCAATGATGGTTGATTTGAGCTTGCTTACTTGCTCACACAGTGACTGCAAGGAAAAACAACCGTTTTCATCACTCTTCACGTTTGCATATCATCTTACTGTAAAACATAATCGCCGTGCTACATCGAACAAGCGAATCCCATGTTATCTGTGTGATTTTGAATCTCAGACGTACGTGTTGTTGCTGATTATAAATATTCAAATGCATCTTGTGACACTTATCTATAGCTGCAAAGATCTTTGTCATACACTGTTGCTAATATTTCAGTTACACTGCACTGATCGATCATCTGAAAAGTGCGCACGAACACTATTATCAAGAACACGTTACAGCACGTTTGACATCAGAAGAACTTAAACGAGGCCGAAAGGGAAAGCAGGCAAAGGTAGAAATTATTTTGCTTTTACTTGTTACCTATAGTTTAAGCTTGATACACAGCTGTAATAAAGCTTTAACAGACTTTCATTAATCTTCTGGAAATTTTTTCTTTAAGATAGTACTAATGCGGGGACGAAGCTTGAGTCCATTATCCGATGATTTTCTTGAGACGGAAGAGTCGTCTGATGGATCGGAAGAGATTGGGTATGACTCAGCTCCTGTACTAGAACTGATGGCAAATATGGAGGCTGAAAATATTGAATTGGTATATTTTGTCACTGTAACTATTTTTTTAGGATCACCGTTATGTCTTTCATAACACAGGTATAACTTCCAGGCAGTAAAGGATCGTGTGGATTACATCATTGCGGTTGTGTGTGGTGATGTCGAAAAGGCTCCATTGTTGGAGGACAGCAAATATGAGTTAAATGCACAAGATTTATCTGTAAGTTGTGTGATTCATTTTAAGGAATGTTTTAACTGCATAAACGGGAGAGAAAACGGGAACCTAAACATTGGTAGAAAAAAGTTTGAATGAAACAAGATATGAGAGATAAAGATAGTTTCGAATTTAGAATGAATCTTCTTCGAGGTTGCAAGTACGATCGAAAGAGCGTCCACATCTTAGTTACGGAAAGACGGAGCAGGTTTGTTTTAACGTTGCACTAATTTTTCGAAAAGTTATACTGCAAACATTAGCAGGAAAAAATCCGTTTTTAAGTTTGCAAAATTGGATCCGTCAGTTTCGAAAAAGAAAAAGGATGTGCCTTCGATTCGCCTTCGCACAGCGCGTAAACGAATGGTGGAAAATATATCGACTGGTCAAGTATCTGGTTTCTGCAAGGTATGCATCTAAGAAGTCATAAGACAACAACTAAGGAACATTTAGCAGTTGCAGTCATTGGAAAGGAGAAATTGGACCGTAAACAACGTCCATCACGTCAACATTGTAAATCAAATTGTTTTGGGAAAACTATTTAGATCTTAAATAATATTCCGGTACTGAACATTGTTTTTTGCTGTGCGCCAACTACGTATTATAAACTTGATTTTTTCAAGACTTCGGAAGGAAATGACGATAACAAGAAGCACGAGACTGAACAGCCGAAGAAACGTGGTAGAGAAAGTAAACCGAAACCAAAAGCTGGGCACACACCGAAGAAAGATGATGTGAGTGGAAATAGTGACGAAGTATGTATCTGGTCACTGCTGCATCGTCAATGACATATATATGTGGTTATGCAAAATTTTTTTTTTTTTTTTTCAGGCTGAAGATAGTCGTAAACGACGCCCTTCACGTCATCGTCGTAAACCAAATTGGATTGATGAAAACTATGTTACCGGTTTTAAGTAATGATTCTGTTATTAAAGATTTTTTTTTTTTTTTTATGCACTTGTATATTATTATAAACTTGTTATGAGTTTCTGAAATACAGTAATGCTGAGATTTTTATTTTTCATAACTTCATGTTCATTTATGAAATTTAGAAACAAACGCATTCATCGAGATGACGATGATATAGATTTGGAATATGCACAGCCAAGGAATCAAAGTCGATCGCCATCAGGGACCCAACCAAAATGTGTTAAAAGTGCGAATAGTCGACGCTCAACACCTACTGAACCTTCTAGTGCCATTCCTGGTATTCAGTCGGAGGCAAGCAGCGAAGAAACATCGAACTCTTCGACTCCTGCGCCAAATGAAAACGCATAGTTAGTTCTCAGACATTGTGATATGTTTTTGATCTGTCTCATGCTTAGCAATCTAAGACAAATCTTAGAAAAATTCTATTTGTTTGTTATAGCAGCGTTGCGAGCAATAGCCACGAATTGAACGATGGTGCAGTACAATCGCCGCTTCCCTTATCTTCAACTGGTGCGGAATGTGCCAAAGATATAATGGTAGTGTTTTCGTTATTAATTTACTACTAATGTTTTCGACCATTAATATGACTTATCAATTTGTTGTTGACATTTCGCTGCTACTTTCAGACCAAAAAAACTTGTCGTTTACAGTATACTCCACGAGCTCGAAGGATGAAATATGGAGATGATTTGTTGTCTGGTTAGTCATACTTTTATGATGATGATCTATATCATAGAACGTGAATATATGGGAATTCTTGCTAGAAATAAAGGGAATTGCAGATGGAAAAGAAATGGCCTCGAAAGATACAAGGGGACAGACAACAAGTGCCAGCACAAACGTAACATCAGTTGATGGGCGTCCTGCGTCGCAGTCTCGTCGCAAGCAAGATCTTTCAACAATCCGAGAAAATAATGATGAAGTTATGGTGGGTTGATTATTTCCCTGATAAAAAACAACTCAAAAAAATGAAACTTTAGTGCATCAACTGGCAATGTTCATTTGACACTGTGACATTAATTTCATGTTCAAATCAGTCTGCGGGAATTTGAGAAAATTTTTTTTTCTTGCACTTTTTTAAAATTTTCTTCAGATTGTACGCTATTCAAATGGTGAAGCATCTCTTCCAAAGGATCTCTCAGAAATTCCTGTCTACCTTACTGAAACACAGCGTGATCTTTTTTTCTCGTTCATCCGTCCTGCTTCACCTTCAAATGATGGCGCATCAAATACTCATAATCGCATACAATGTGGTGACATTATTGCGAGCATATCAGTTAGTCTTACTAATGAAAATTCTAGAAAATTGTTTGGAGTTGTTCCTATTTTAATTCTTGAAAAGACACTTCTGGAATACTTTCAAGTAAAGGAGAAGCCTTATACCAACATAAACTAGTGCGTATCATTACTCTGTTGTGCATTACTCTTCATAGAATTCCTGGCCATTCATGTTGGTATTACGAAGGTTTCGTTTTATTTGATTAATTTTGGGGATGGGATTGCTACCGCTTCATTTATTTAAAGACCAAATTATAATAAGGCAACTGCATGTTATGAGTTGTTTGCACATTGCTCACAATGTGGATGTGATTCATTTTCCTTTTGCGATATATTCACATGCAATATAAGCAGTGAAATAAATTTCATCTTGCATCAACAGATTATTTACTGCTAGGCAATGTTTTGTAATACAGAGACAAGTTGAAGTAACCTACTATATTTAAATATTCAGAGTTCTTCAGTGTTATTTTATTAATTTTATCAGAAACATATCTCTATTCTTTTGTCAGGAATACTTTTCATGCAAAAATATTTTAGGAGTGCGAAGCAACCACTAAATACATTTCAAAAGCGCGATGATCTATATAAAATTCATTGAGAGGATTGCGATAAAGTGCAAGTGACCTTTGTCAACCTCTCTCTGATGCATGGAAAGTAGTTTGTTTGGTAGCTAATTTACGAAATGTTGTGCTATATAGTTTATGTTGTGTTGCTAGTAACAGATAGTTTGTCTCTGTCTTGAATATATATATATGTAGCAGTTTGTATAAAAGTTGTTAATTAGCAGGTCTAATTATGTAGAGATTAGCTGTTTGTATTTCGTACTGTTCTGCTTTTGTAGAGTATACTGTAATAATATCTTGATTAATATTAGTTGCTGATAACGGGTATCATCCAGTGTTGGATTTTAATGCGTTGTTGGACTAAATTTTACTAGTTTTCTTATCCAGAAAAATATTAGGAAAGGACTAAGATTAAGATATTGTGGAATAAGACTGATGGTTGAAATGACGAGTTATGCCTTTTGTTCTGTTACTATCACTATTAGTGTGTTTTTTTTTTTTTATTGGTATAACTAATACTAATAGTGTTTTTGGATGTGATACATCATCGAGTGATAGTTATTGTCACTGAGCAATTGTGATTGCAATCCTTCGTCTTATTTAATCTTTCTTTTTATTACTAGTAATTAGTAGGAAATATATGATGAATATTGTGAGAGTTTGATTTCTTCTATCTAAAATTTTGTATTTCAAATAACTGTATCTATCTTATGAAAAATTTTTTATTACATTTTTGTATTTTTCCATAATTTGTGAAGATCGTTTTGTAATTAGTGTTACTATCATTGCCTTGTTATTTCTTTGAAGCAAAAAATTGATGAAATATTTTTAAGTCAAATTAGAAGAAAAAAGAAGGATAGATTGCTGCAATTGCAAATGGAAAGAAATAAAAGGATTTTAAAAAATAAAAGAAGCATTGTCGTTCGCTGTTTGATTAGCAAATAAATTATTCATGTTTTATTCGATAGGAAAGTAAAGAATAGTAAGCAGAGGATGTTATTGAGGAGAAAGGAATTAGTTGAATGAAAAATGGATGGGAACAAATGAATGGTTGGAGTAGGGTACTCTTTTTTTTTTTTTTTTTTGCAACAAGGAATGATAAAAATTAGTTGGCGTATTTACCAAATTTCATTCCTTACAGTTAATTCATTGATTTAAAATTTTCGTGCTGCAGTGAAATCTGTTGCAAAAGGCGAAAATTATTAAACAAGTTCCTATGTTGATATTCTTTCAATAACTTTGTAAAAAATGATTTCCTTTCTATAAGTTATTGAATGCTTCTATTCCTAAATATTATGATTTACTAACTTTAGCACGAGTTATAATTAATTTTTATAGTGAAATTTAAAGCAATTTTCTTTCTGATTTTTTTAAGAGCAGTTTCTCTTTCAGCAAAGTTCGCCTACGAGGAAGACATCGGAAGAAATTTCGAAATTGCCATAGAAACTTGTTCTTTATAATGTCACCACCGTTCAATTCCATTATAAGTAAGATTTTAGTGAAGATGTGTTCAACACTCATCAAACATTGAGTACGTCAAGAATATAAACATGCTAAGAACATGCTGAATTTGCAAATATATTTCGACTTTTTAACTTTTTTCTGATAATTTTATATCAATGTATGGTATTATTAGTTTTCTTTTCGTTTTTTCTTTTATTTCAGGACAAAAAAAAAAATTTTTCTAACTTTTGAAACTTTTGCAGTTTTTCTTCCTTAAACCCATTCATGTGTTTAAAACGTAGCTTTTCCATGAAATAATTAAATTGAAACAAAAATTTGCCTAATTAAATTGATCATTGAATGTTACTGCTAATCAATAATATGTGTATGTGCATTTTATCACACTGAAAATCATTGTATTTCATACTTTTTTTCGTCTCATATTAAATGCACAGATTATTTAACACAATTTTTTTTTTTTTTTTTTTAGGTGTATGAATTTTAGTTTCGTCTGAAATTTTATTTCGTGAGGTTAATTTTTCTTAATTGAAGTTGAAGTTAATTAACTCGAAATGTTTGATAATTGAAATTTTAGCCATACTCAACAAAATTATGTTTTCAACAGTACTTGATTATTTGCGTAGATTGAAGTATCATTAATTTTAATTTATCCTTTTAAAAAAAGAAAAAAGCAATCATTTATGCTTTTTTGTTGCTAGTGATGATTACATATAATTATTAGAATAAATAATTTTCGTGCTTCAGTTTAACTCAGTACTGTTATTTTCATTCTTTCTTCCATTAATGGCTCAGTTAGCTGTGAGATAAAATTGTATTATGCTACATTTAAAAAATGACACTGCTAACCGTAAATCATTGTAATCTTAATCAAGTTATTAGATGTTCTAAAACTTAAATCGTTATTGCAGATATTTTCGTGGAGTACGGTTGGTTGATATTGGGAACTCTTATAGTATTTCACTTTGTGTATAAAAAATTCATCTTATCGTTCTATCAAGATATTCAACAGAGAAAGGAGCTAGAAAGAAGGAAAAAATTTGGTCTGATGTGTTCATTTTATTCATTTTTAATAAGCAAATTATATCCATTTTATAAATTTTATAATTTTTGAGTCGAAATTGCGAAAAAAAAAAACGAAGCCGTAAAACAAATTCTTGATAGATTATCATGTGCTGTTTTGAGAAAGTTTCTTTATGACAAGTTTTTAGAGAAATGGTTATTAGAGCTTATTGATATCATTCTCAGTAATGATGTATTTTGTTACTGATAGCAATAGTTAAATAAAAACTGATCTTTTTTTTTTTTTTCAATTATGCAGAAATTCGAAATCATCCATTCTTGTTGGATCATACGTTTTCAGTAATTATTCTTAATAAAATATATTTAATTTATTATGGATAAGCAATTTTTTCATTAAAAAAATATCTTAAATTGGAAAAAATTTCGCGATGTTTAAAAAATATTTTGGACGCTGAACTACAAGAAGCATACGGTAATCGTATACGAATAGCTCGTGAAAAAGCTCAACAGGAATTGAATAATAAAGTAGTCGAAGTACATAAACATTTGAAAGTAAAGAAACAAGAGCATCTACAAGGAATTATGGTAATATTTATTATAAATATTGCGTTATTAGTTTTTATTTTATTGGAATATTTCATCAAGTAATAAAGAAAATGAATTAATATTACAAATAATACTAGGATTAAGTTAATCGTTCAATTATTTCAGACATCATCAGGAACATCGAATGTAAATATAGATCCATACACATTTGTTACCAGTTTAACAAAATCAACTCCGGTTGTTATTTTTAGTAAAAGCTATTGCCCATATTGCAAGTATGTTTTGATTATTTGTAACTATTTCTGCAACAAAAATCATGATCGTGATTATAAATTCATTTTGCTTATTACATTAGGCTAATATTATGATAAATATGGGATAATAACGAAACATGACAACAAATATATTTCGTTAATTTGAGTAAATCAAAAAGATGTCGCTACTATTGAAAGTCACTGAAAGTCTAATCAATAAATGGAACAACTTGTTTAAAAAATTTTTTCATTTAAATGAAAGAAATTTCTTCTGGGTGCTAATTTACAATTATGCTTGGTATGCAGTTTCGTTTCAAGCCTAAAGGTCACTCATTGTACTTATGACGCGAAAATGTTTTATTATTATTACTTTTTATTTTACACATAAAATTTCCTCACATTTTTGTCAATTCAGGAATGCAAAGCGAGCACTAAGTACATTTCGGATGCGCGGTGATTTATATAAAATTATTGAACTGGACGAAAGAGAGGATTGCGATAAAATCCAGGTGAGCTTTGTCAACTTCATTACGTTACGTGGAAAGTACTTCGTTTAATAACAGATTTATTAAATGTTGTTGTGCTATTGTATTGTTAGTAATTTATTACTAACAAATAATTTGTTCCATCACATATATATTTGTCTATTATAAAAAGAAATACTTAAAAGAATAGATTCAATCAACAAATAATTAAACAATTTAACCAATAAAATAATAAAATTAATAATAGAACCGAAAGAAGAATGTACCTGGAATAGAGAATTAGCAGTAAGGATAGTCGGAAACCTTACGAGGTTTATCTTGTATGCCAGCAAAATGCATAAGAAAAAAATTATATTAGTGCGAACGAAGAAAAAAACGAAAAAAAATGACAATCATAATAAACCATCAAAAGAAACACAATGCAACATATAAAAATGAAACACATAAGGCGATCATAAACAAAAACCTCAAAAAATACCGTAAACAGCATCTAATCATTAAAATATAGTGAAAATAAGCCACAAAATACGAACAGTACTGGATCCGACCTAGCTACTCTTAAAATAAATATATGCCTGAACGGTTTGTATAAAAGTTGTTAACAGACCTGACTATGCGGAGACTAATGTTTATATTTTTTATTACTTATTGTCGTTTGTTTCTTTCTTTTCTTTTTTTTCTTTTTTTTTTTTTTTTTTTTTAGGATATATTACTGCAGTTAACAGGAGCCAGATCAGTTCCACGTGTTTTTATTGGTGGAAAATGCATTGGAGGTGGTGATGACACGGTAGCTGCACAAAAGGATGGACGTCTAGAAAAATTGTTGAAAGAAGCCGGTACGAGTTGATTTTAATAATTGTTCATATAACATTAAACATTTATTGAAACTGAAACTAAACATTTGTAATGATGATTTAATCTGAGTGTTTGGGAGTTTTCTTTGTTGTTGCACTAAATTTTACGATTTCTAGTCATCCAAAAATATTTTTTTTTCTTTATTTATAAACAAAAAGATTAGAAACTACTGGGACTGTTGCAGAAATAAGATTGGTTAACTGGAATGATTGATTGTACTTTTATCCTAATATTATGAGCACGTATTCTTGTCATACAATTGCAACCTTTGCTTTTTTTCAGGTGCGATACAGAAATGAATATATGATGCATAAAATGCAATCGAGTGATATTTTTTATCATCGAATATATATGCTTTTTTTTCTATTACTTTATATTTTATAGGAAAAAAAAAAATGTAATGTGAAGCATTTAACAGGGAAAAAATGTGTAATGCGAAAAAACAGAAATCATTCTGCCAAATGCAAGCTTTTCCAAAGCTTTTAACTTTTTTATGAGACAGCCATAGTTCATTCTAAAAATGGAGCTATGATAATTGGAAACCTACTTTCCCAGTGAGAAATAAAAGAGGAAGAATGGATCTCATTTGTCAGAGTTTAGGAATTTCCAAGTTAGTAAATGACAATGAAAACATGATGAATCTATAATCTATAGTTCGTTAGAATTAACTTGAAATTTGTTTAAAATTGTTTCTTAAAGAAGAAATGATTGATATGAAGTATATTCACCCTATTTGGTTGAGATAGGGAAGTAATAAAAACAAAAAATATCTGAACTTCGTTCGATTTCATGTAATCTAATTTGCATTTTAACATACTTATTCATCTTTATTCGTATAATCCTGTAAAAGATCAATATCTAAACAGTGATTACGTAGTTTGTTGTTGCGAAACATATCAGTGAACGATTTAGCTCCTCTATCAATATCCCACCGTTCGACTCGTTGTCCAGCAATATAGCTTTGAAAACGAATATCATTAGACTGACAAATATCCAACAACACTTTCTGTATGTTATCCGATGGTCCATCTTTTAGATTGAAAATTTCGACATAAGAATAATCGCCTGTCCTGCAATTTTTCATAGAATTGTACCCTGATGATACTTCTGAAATTATTTTTGGTACAAGTAAAGACATTACTGAGTGTTGTATTCAGTGTAGGCTTAGATAGTCTAAACGAAATATAGTTTCTGAAGAACACACTTGTTTAACCAGTACAGCAGATAGTCAGCAACATAGTGAATTTGTGTAGCACTTTCCAAGATTAGATTGCACAATGCCAATTTCATTGCACCATCTGCATCTCGTGCTAATGGATTCAATACTCCCGGTGTGTCCACTATATATATTGGTGGTTGATCAAAAATTCGTACACGATTTTGAACACGTACTGTTACTCCTGGTCTACTACCTCAAATTTTTAAAATCACTTTTTTTTCAAACGATATTTACATTATAGCAGTTGTGTAATTATTGAACTGCAAACAATCTAATTACTAAATTAATTAGACAACATGATGCTCTCTGATAAATGCTTCTTAACTACGAAACGTAATCCCCATCAAATATCGTTTTAAATTCTCAAACAGTCTGACTCACTAAAAAAAAGTTTTCTAATATGTCTTATAGTAGTAGTAATTTCGAAATGATCTAAGAAATGGTTTACCTTCCTCAACAGCCTTCTGATTATTCCCAAGATTGGTTAGTCGTAGTGAGTTAATCAGTGACGATTTGCCAACATTAGGAATGCCTACTATCATAACCTAAAACATAAGAAGTTTTTTACACATCAAAGCAAGATTAAGTAAAAATATTAAGAACTCAAAACATGCGTTGACTCTTGAATTATGCTTAATTACGATATTCTTTAATAGTTGCTGATAGCTGACTATTAATAGGCGAAAATTTTCAATGACAGCAGTAAAATTACTTATTTCAACAATAAATTTTTTAACAGCTGGTTGATTATAGTTTTAAATAATGAGACATAACGGGAACATCAACCTGGTATTCTGTCTTTACGGTTCGATTGAAACGTGGTTCTTCACGAAGACATCGTAACATCATATTTTGTAAGTCTACGAGTGGTTTCTTGAGACGTTTTTTACAGTTTGTCCATACTAAATTCGTTATACCGTTATCACGATAATAATCTTCGATTGGTTTTCTTAAAATGCAACTTCATAACAGTTGAAGAAAGAAAAATGAGTGAAATCATTTATGATAAGATCAGAATTTGAATCCATTTTAACAGATTACACTTTAACTCATGTATTCTAGCAAAGTTAAGAAGATCTGGAACACTATGAACACTTATGTAAGTATTCAGAAAATTTCATAACAAACCTTAAATTCTCATTAATAAGATCCATTTTATTCATTACAAGAATATGTGGTCTTACGGCATATAAAGACGAATAAAACTGAGGATTACGTCCAGTGATTGGCACTCGAGCATCATGTACCTAGAAATTCAAAAAAAAAAAAAAAAAAAAATTGGGATTCGACATCAGATTTGAAAAATGAACTGCTTGAAACACTTATCCATGCTACAACTGTGAAGCATAGGTTCATCATCAGAAGAGATAATAGTTTTGTAGAAGGGAGTAACAATTCTTTAAGAGTAGTAACTCAGACTATTTAAAGTACCTACTTACTTCAATGATAAGATCAACTGTTCTCAATTTACCAATCATACGTTTCAACTGTACAGACATATGCATGGGAAACCAGACACGGAAATCAAATTTCACAGGCAACTGATAACGTTCTCGACATTGTACCCTTGGCATTTCACTCGATGTGTCACAACTCTTACGTCTAAATAAATCGAGAAATCATGCAAATAGAATACAAGAAGCAGTAAATTCTGAAGAGTTTAAAGGGAAAATGCGCAGAAAATCTCACCATCGTCATTCTTTTCAATAATAACAATCAATAGCCATTTTTAGAAAAATTCTAAATTATCTGAGGCCAGCAACCTTTGTACAAAAACTCCTAAAAAATCAAGTAACAGAAAACGAACCTTCCTGTGTGGTTCAGAAATGTCAAATTTAGACTGATAGATCGATCCCATACATACATAAAATACTGTTGTTGTCTTACTAACCACATCCTACACAAAAATTCGAAAATCACACTGTTTTAACCATTTCTGCTTCCTACAAATCGCTATTTGTAATTTCTTCCAATACCGCAAAAAAAAAAAAAAAAAAATTAATCCATTATTCCAAGAAACTGTCACTTTCTTTTCATTTATTAGGAAATAGAAAAGATGGAAACTAGAAAAAATAATTTCCTGAATGGGAAGTCAGTGAACAACAGTATCAATGTCGATAAAAATTATTTATATATATATACATATCGGAAAAAAAACAATAACAAAATAGAATAACATGGGCTACGATTACTAAATTTACTGTTATCACATAGAGAAACAGTAAGCCACCAATATTTTATCACCGGAATATCAAAAAGATTTTAATATTTCCTGACAGTTTGGGCCAAAATTTCTCTTTCTATCATCATCATCAAGTGCTGGTGGCAAATGTAAAATTCTAATATCAAATTTTCGCTTCTGGAGTTGAAAAATAAGATCACTACTCGCTGGACAGTGCGTTGCAATTGATGCCATGTTTGGAAGCTTCAACAAACGAAAATAGCCATCGAAACGGTCACCAAACTTCTCCATGATATCGTCATCATCTACAGCATCCAAATGAACCACTAAGTCACCATACGCATAAAGTCTTTCCTTAAATACAAGTTAAAACTCGGAACTTTTTTAAACAATATAAATCGTCGAAGTTCGATATAAAAAAATTTATTCAAACGATACAAAAAAATTGACAATTCCAAGTGGGCTTACTATATCACAAAGAAACGTCAAGTCCACGACCAATGTGAAAGATAGCTCAAATATGAGTGTACAAAAATCTTAACAATAAATTCATGTCTTTAACTCAAAATAAACAAACAAACTTTTCGTTCATCCGGTAACCCACTCGTGTTAATAATTAACATCGCAACAGCATAATAGGAGCATAACACAGTACGCAAATGAGCAATAAACTTTAAATCATTTTCAGGATCTAGCCAAAAAGGACTACCAACACCTAAGCGACTTTATCGTTATTGGGAATCAAAAAAATAAGAAAAAAAAAAATATCGTTTAGAAAATTTCGCTCACCTTCTATGACTATACGCAAGACACGTTTGTTGGACTTCAAAGAAGTAGCCGAATACTCAACACCTATAAGTTTTTGCTGTATTTGCTTATAAAGATCATTATAACTAGATAATTCATGTTGTGATTCCGTATTATCAGGAAAGAACGAAATGTTGCATGCTTCTATTTTTTTGCGATCCATTTTTTTCGCTAAATCATATTGCGAATGCCCACGACGAGGACAAGATAGTGAAGAATCCAATTTTGGAACAGTTGAATAACGCCATGCAATTTTCATTGTTGAATTTTCGGGTCTCTCTACATCATCCTTCAAAGTAATTTCATCCATAACATTTATTCGATCCGGTAAATTTTCTAATAGTTCTCGTGGATTACGATTTGTGCTTGCAACAAACAGTGAATGATCGCAAAATATACCTAAATGATTATACCTTTTCAAACTTTTTAAAAATATATCAGTCAATAAGAATAAAACAAGAATTAAATTCACTAGTTTACGTTGAGTTATATCACCAGGAGTAAACATACTACACTTCTGAGCAGTCTTAATAGTACTAAATAATTGTTACATATTCGATTCAGATAATATTAAAATTTAATTCAGCTAACCTTCAGCACTAAAATATTTGCTAAGGATAGTTGCATAGCCTCGACTTTTATTCTCATCGATGATATAAAGTGAAGAAAGTGGTATACCGCCACCTATTAATGAATCTACCGCTGCACAACCCACCGATATTTCTGGATAACGTGATCGCATACTCGTTCCCGGTATTCTTAGCATAACATCTGAACGTATTCCAGCCATCACAACCTGTAATTATTATCATTTATGAAAAGATTTAATTAAAAGAAAATATATTCAAAACTAATTTATCTCAATGAAATGTGAAGAGAAATACGCAAAGCTTGCAAGATTGAACTACAATTTAAGCATTTATTTATGAAATTACAATTAAAAGAAAGAAAAACCAACTTGTATTTTGAACTTTACAATGACTTACTTAAAAAAATGAACATTAAAATAGTTCAATTTTACAAATTTAAAAAGAAAAAACCAAAAATTCACTCCACAATCACACTACACTTTTCCTGTCTGAATTTCATAGAAAGTCCAACAAGAAACGAAAGAAGTACATTTACTAATACAAATTGGACGGAATTTCGGAATGAAATGATATAGTGCTTAAACTAATTAACATAGATTTACCTCAGAATCTGGTTTGTGACGATTAAGTATTTAACATTTCAATAAGTGATATGACTATTCGCCAGATGAAAACATATATATATATATGAAATATCAACTTTACGTTATAAAGAAATACATTTACTAACGTAAGTGGAACGGAAATGGAAAAGTCAAGTAGGAAAGTTTACTTAATTACTTGGCACAAATTTATTAGCAAAATGAATGCAACCAACATGAATCATTTCAAATCATTTCATCTGCTAAATCCCATTCTGTAAAGTTGAAAACTATCTAAGAAGTATGATATGAGAGACATACTGAGAAATTGCAGGATTAAGGGAAAATGAGAGTGAAATTAACGAGAAGCTATCGAGATATTATTCTAATTTGAAGTGAAAATTTGTGCAGGAATTCAAGGAATTTTTGCTAATAAAAGGATTAACTTATTGTTATTTACCAAAGTGGTTATTGATTAACGTTTCAATTAATGATTATTTTAGTAGTTATTGATTAGTGTTTCAATTAATGATTGTTCTAGTGGTCACTGATTAGCGTTTCAATGAAGACATGAAATAGACATGAAATCCTTTTAACTGTAATTGATTTGTAAAATAATGTTGAAATGTTAATATTTGTAAAAGTTTGTGATCTTCAACTGAATTAGTTCAGTTAAAACAAATGAACTGATAAGAGTAGTATATTAGTATTAAAGATTTATGACTTTATACAGTTGTTGCACATTCTGCATTTTCTTTGGTAATTAATTAATTCTTAGAGAGTATATTTCCGTGTTGTAGAAAACTCTTTGCTTAATAAAAATGTACTTTGATAAAAATGTGAGAATGAAAACACTTCATCCCATCGATGATATAAAACTAACTTAGCTTGTTTTATTTCTGTTCGGGAATCCCTAATTATCGGACGGATAAATAATTTAATCCATAGATTACCTAAAAAAACACTCCTTGATTACCTAAACCTCAGCCAAACATATCTCTCATCTTTCCATTGGTACGATTGTCTGATAAGATCTCACTACTTGGTTATCTTTATTCTTTAAGTGTGTAGTGCGTCGTGTAAAACAAATATTATTCGTGAATAAATTGGAAATGAAAAAAGTTTTTGGATTATACAAGATTTCCGCCTTGCGGAAATATTCTACATTTTAGTATTAATTGCATTCTTTAGATAAAAAAGAGCGGAATTATTTCTTTCCGCCAAAAGACGATTTCTAGGAATTCCTGGTTTGATTGTAGGATGAAACTTAGCAGTATTTACTTGACTTTTAATGTTTGTGAGATTACTTTTTCAGGATCCGAGTTTAGTTATCATTTCCGATTTTCATTTAGTGCAATTGTAAGGCAATACCCAGAATTCCGTTAGCTCCTTTACATTCCAAGTACTGGTTAACACCGAGAAGAACAATGAAGTGCCCAAAATTAATTTCAAGTCCATTTCAGTAGTACAGGCAATTTGCATATTGGAGCTCGCTCGTTGATTACAAACTCCCCGAAAGCGCATAATTTAAATCTCGGAATTTAGTGCGATATGAAGTTGACAAGAACTGAATTACTAGTTTATTCGTGTAATTGTAAAACTAAGTTATTCTTACGTAACTGTGAATTACAAAAAATGTAATGAGTGTAAGAAAAATAATATTTGTCTTTAAGATTCACTTTTTCGATTATGCTCATTAAGCAACACTTTCAACACTGATTGCACGTAGCACTTAATTGTATTGTATAAGACGTTCACACGTTAACATTTGACGTTAACTTACTGAAAAGTGGGAGAGAAAAAGTTATCGAAATTATGCAAAATTAATTTTGGGAATGAGTTCCAAGTAAAAGATTTCTATGACTTTTATTTTGGTACCGATGTCCAATATTGATGAACGTTTTGTGAACATAAAAGTATCTTAGAGTATTAATATTATAGTAGTATTGATCTATTCTGATTAACAACGACGCAATGGCCACTTTAAGACAAAAACTACTGAATAAACAAAATTTCCTTCTGCAATTTCGGGACTACTTATCAATTTTTCTCCCCGAGAAACTCTCATAAGCTTCTGATAGGTATTTCCATTGCCAAACTTTTGAGTATTCCGAGTAGGTCTCCACTTTCCGGAACACCAGTTTTTAACGGTTAGCATAGATTATTAATATATGTATGAAATAGTTATTTTCTCCCACTTCGATAATATCAGTGTCCCCGTTTAAATAACGGGATCGATTTAATTTTCAATCAAACTTTTTCTATTTATCTTTTTCATTTCTTCCAAATATTCCATACGTAGAGTGTAAATTGTTCTAAATCATAAAATTCTAATTCATGTAAGACTGTTTTAAGATTGATTGGTTAAATAGTATAAAATATGTATTTCTTCATTCGATAACATTATGTTTTACGCTTTTTCACTTATTGTTAAATAATTGACATCGAAGTTTGTGATAGAAATGTGGCGGATGAGGGGAGAAAGGAAATGAAGGATAGGAGTGGACAAGGGTCAACTCTTACCTATGTTTTCTTGATGGCATTATGCAGCAGTTGGAGTGATTATCGCTTACCTTAACTTAATATTCCATATTATATATATACATATTTAACGTAATATTTTATATTCGTTTATTTGATCGGCAACTATATGTAGTTATTGCTGGTGATGCCATATACTGATTCTTTATTCCTGTCAATTCCATATTACTTATTTAATTTATCTGCTGCATTGCAAAATTTTATTTCCTGACAGATGATGAATGTGAAATATGTAAAAGTGTTATGCAATATAATAACTCTACTGTCAATACTAAAAATTTATACTTCTTTGGCTAAAAAATCTTCCATCCCACTTTTGTAACTTTATATGCGAATTATTGATTCCAGTACTTCAGCAATAAAATTCCAATTATTTTTCATCCCCGATTACAATTTACTCTAACATTTCTTCTGTATCCACCAGTGCTTTTTTCCCTCCTCCTCCTCCTCCTCCTCTTTGTATGTTGTATAGTGTTTCAAATGATTATCGTTTGTCGTACAATGGTTTATTACACAACAGTATGTACCAATTCTCTTTATGCAATTAGCTTTACCGATAATACTTCAACTTTGACCAGTTAATCAATGAGTTAAAAATTACTGCTACCTTCATTACTGTTATTAGTTGAATTATAGAATGAATAAAAAAATAGAAGAAATAGTGATACTTGCCCGACAAAATATATCAAATCATTATTATGAAAATTACTTCTCTGAATACTTTATCATCTTTCTTCATATTATACCTTCATTATTTCAAATATTAACATATAGTTTAGATTGATATGCAACTTCATTTACCATTTCAATTTAATTTTCTACTGAAATGTATTCAACTCCAACAAACAATTTCGAAGATGAAATCCACACTGCTACAAATAAGTTATGAAGCAAATATCGTAATGATTGATATTGGTGCAGAAATATCGACTTTTTGGGACATTTCAAGATTCATAATAATTGCGCAAATTTGAATTTTTGTAACTTACTGCAGCCTAACACTCTCCCTCTCTCTCCCCTTCTCCCTCTCTCTTTCTCATTCTCTTTTTTTCATCATCCTTTTTATTGTTACTCTAAGAGAATTATGATAGGTTATCTTAGAAAAATATGGTAATTGTGTCAGATGTTTAACAACCTTATCTATTGTTACGTCTGATAATTCGATTTGTGTAATTTCAGTTAACTTTTAAATTCCGAATTTTGAGCAAATTTTTCTCTTTTGAAAAAAAAAAAAAAAAAAAAAAAAAGAAAATAAGTGCAAAATGAAATGAAACGAATAATTCTTCAGATTTGTTTGCAAGAAAATTCCTCGATCAATTTTTTACATTTCTTGTGATTCCGTGACACTAATGTTTATTTGTAGCCAAGATAGATATATTATCAATTTTTGCTTATAACCAGAAAAAAAAAATATTCGATCATTCGGCATACAAAAAACATTTGCATTGTATATTTTTATTCAACTAATTTACTAACAAGTAAACTACTGATTTTTCTTTTTCTTTTTTTTTGTTGTAATTAAAGAATTGATAAGAATACATTTATCTTTACCACAGCAAAATATGGATAAGATTGGGAACTCTTCACTAAAAATCTACATACTATTAGCATAGACTTTTTTTTCGTTCTTTGAAGCACGTTTAATGCTAACTGGAAATTTGTGCAACAATTTATCGATCATAATTTTCCATAAAATCCACTTTTTGATTTCTCCTTTTATTAATTATGATTCATGTTAAATGTATACTTATTAGGAATCGTTTTCTTTCTATGATTGATCATTAAGATAATCATAATTTACTTATATTGTAATTTATGATAACCTTGAACGACATATCGCCTATCAATATTATCATTCAGGAAACATCTACAATGAGTTTTTATTTCAGATGTAATAGCATGGATTTCAGGCTCAAATTTCTTTGTAATTCTTTGCTCATATTAATCGTATCAACAATATCACTTCAACATTCATACTTCTGCTCTATTTTATTCCATCTTTACATTTAACGGTTTATTTTCATTAGTTTAATTAATCTCAATAATTGAAACTATTTTTAATTTTTTGAAAACATTCACTTCTATTGTATTGTAACAGTTAATTAGGTCGTCCAAATGCTTATTACTTTGATTTAATACGTAAATAACTGGCATTATTTGTGAAATGAATAACATTACTCTAATTTACTTGATTAATTTCATGATAAGGATGGAAAGAGGTCACTTTACCTATCCAAATCTTATGGATTCTTATTGATATCCACTGCCATTTTAATCTTAGTGCATTTTTCTTTTTTCAATTCCAGAATACTTCTATTTCCAGAATTTATTCTGGTCATGTCGTATCTTCCGTTCTTGTCCTGTTGATTAAGTTATGCATATTCAACATTCCCTCTTTTGCAGTGCGGTGTTTATTTTGCTTTCATTAGCGAATAAAACATACCTTTACGATTTCCTGAAATTTAATTCGTCTTTATTCATATCGAACCGTATTCCTCTCTTCCGGAAATCCTCACTTGCATAGTACAAATTCCGATTTACCGAGATTGGTATACGGTAAGTTGATCGCACGTCGCAGTATGAAATCATAATATCCCGGGGTATATATCTTCAGTAATGCCTTAGAATTTCTATTTTTCGGGTGATTTTCATGGTGTATTTTGTACAGAGAAATGTAATTATTACAAAACCGTAGGAAAAAGAAAGGAAATGAGTCAATTCAGGTAAATATACCAAAATTTTGACTAAAAATTGTTGAGAATTAAATAAGCATTCGTTAGTATAAGATGTTTTGGGTCTTTTATTTTTTTTGGAAATCAAATTAAAGCTACTTTTTTTTTTTTTTTGTTTCTCTAGTCTTTTGCAAATATCAATAATATCAACGAGTACAAAGAGATATGTCGCGAAGTGTTGATGATTTGGGCCTTCAACAACCTTCTATACCAACCGGAGGATCTGATGGTGTTGATGGTTTAATAGATATATACAACAACTCAACCGTTGAAGTGAAAAATTTATTGGCAAATGAATGCAATGTTCTTTTCGAATGTCGGTGAGTTTATTTTTGTAATTGTTTTAAGGAATTTCCAACCTTTTTTTTTTTGAAAAGAGCTGTGAAATGTTGTTTTTTAATAGTGAGATTACAGTTGTTGTGGTAATATCTTTCGAAGTAGTTTGAATTATTTGACACACAAACGCGTCTATTGCCGTACATTGCGTTCAACTGTTGCGTCGGCTTTCAGTGCTGTGGCTCTAGATTTTGCGGAAAAAGCGCTTGCGGGTAAGTATTTTCTTAAAATTTCAGTTCGAAAATCGAAAAAGTGGCGAGGAATCTGTCGTGACATTGAAACCATTGTCAGTTAAAATTACGCCTTGCACTAAAAGTGATTTTTTGATCAATCTTTCCATAGTTATATCTGTAACCAAGTAAGGAAGCCTTTTAGAACTTCGAGACGGCGACCAAAGTAGAAAGGAAGGAGCATCACCACAACATCAGAATAAAGGAGAGGCAGGAACATCGTCCAGCACGAAAACCGATTCACAGCCGCCGAAACGTGCCAAAGGCATTCTCAAGCGAACAAATCTTATCAACGTAGTCAACAAGCGGATAAAACATTATGCATTGTCACTACCGAATTCGGAGGTTATCTGTTTGTAACAACTAGTTGTATCATTTATTAATAATGTTACGATGTGTGATATATATGATGACGAGAAAGAGAGGAGCTTAGGTTATAAGTTTCTCTCAGTCTTTAATTTGAATTTTGTTTTGTTATGGACTTGTTTACAGCATAAGTTGGAATTGCACACACTTCCCCGAATCTCTCGTGATGTGGCAACAACAACATTCGTAGAAGGACAACAGGTGGCTTTGTGCAGTTCCCTTTCTTTCTTTTTTTTAAATGAATTTTTTCGAAGTAGTAGGATGAAATTGAAAAAATTGAATTAAAAAAAATTCAAACCAAAATATGAATGAGGTAAACCTTTCGAGATCATGGAATCAATCCCTCATGCATTGGTAACAGTGGATACGGTACCAGCAGATCGTGTTGCGGTTGTTATTCCCCAGGACAATTCAAGTCGATATCGAGAAATGAATTTGCGAAATCGTAAAGGTGATAGCGCAAAGAATGGTGTCGCTCGGAAAGTCGGAACGGAAGAAGTATTTTATTTTGTTTTTGTTTCTTTTTTTTTTTTTGGAGATCAATTTGCATGGCTTGCAAATCTTTTTAATGTTTTTTTGCAATTTCAGCTTAAAATCTTGGAACGTATGGGCAAATATCAAGCAATGATGGTTGATTTGAGCTTGCTTACTTGCTCACACAGTGACTGCAAGGAAAAACAACCGTTTTCATCACTCTTCACGTTTGCATATCATCTTACTGTAAAACATAATCGCCGTGCTACATCGAACAAGCGAATCCCATGTTATCTGTGTGATTTTGAATCTCAGACGTACGTGTTGTTGCTGATTATAAATATTCAAATGCATCTTGTGACACTTATCTATAGCTGCAAAGATCTTTGTCATACACTGTTGCTAATATTTCAGTTACACTGCACTGATCGATCATCTGAAAAGTGCGCACGAACACTATTATCAAGAACACGTTACAGCACGTTTGACATCAGAAGAACTTAAACGAGGCCGAAAGGGAAAGCAGGCAAAGGTAGAAATTATTTTGCTTTTACTTGTTACCTATAGTTTAAGCTTGATACACAGCTGTAATAAAGCTTTAACAGACTTTCATTAATCTTCTGGAAATTTTTTCTTTAAGATAGTACTAATGCGGGGACGAAGCTTGAGTCCATTATCCGATGATTTTCTTGAGACGGAAGAGTCGTCTGATGGATCGGAAGAGATTGGGTATGACTCAGCTCCTGTACTAGAACTGATGGCAAATATGGAGGCTGAAAATATTGAATTGGTATATTTTGTCACTGTAACTATTTTTTTAGGATCACCGTTATGTCTTTCATAACACAGGTATAACTTCCAGGCAGTAAAGGATCGTGTGGATTACATCATTGCGGTTGTGTGTGGTGATGTCGAAAAGGCTCCATTGTTGGAGGACAGCAAATATGAGTTAAATGCACAAGATTTATCTGTAAGTTGTGTGATTCATTTTAAGGAATGTTTTAACTGCATAAACGGGAGAGAAAACGGGAACCTAAACATTGGTAGAAAAAAGTTTGAATGAAACAAGATATGAGAGATAAAGATAGTTTCGAATTTAGAATGAATCTTCTTCGAGGTTGCAAGTGCGATCGAAAGGACGTCCACGTCTTGGTCACGGAAAAGCAGGGCAGGTTTGTTTTGACGTTCCGACGTTACAAAATATTCGAAATCTTACTAAATATTCAGAAAGTTATTTTGCAGTTATGTTATATTTTGGAAATTTTGTTTTTCAGCTTGGAAAAGTGAGTCCATCAATTTCGAAGAAGAAAAAGCATGGTCCACCAGTATGGCTTCGTACAGCACGTAAACGTATGGAAAATGTACCGATGGATGAAGTAGCTGGTCCTAGCAGGGTATTTGGTTAAAAAGGCAAAAATTAGGAGTCATTAGGAGAAAATTGAATCGTATTATTTTTTAAGATTTCGCAAGAAAGCGATGAGGAAGGGAAGCACGAAACTGACCCACCAAAGAAACGTGGTAGAGGGCGTAAGCCGAAACCAAGAGCTGGACAGACATCGAAAAATGATATCGAAAAAGATGAATTGAGTGGAAATAGTGACGAGGTTAGTGCATATTCACTGAATATATTTGTTGACCATAAATTCAGCTTAGATTATGTCAAATTTTTTATTTTCTGCTTTTCAGGCGGAAGATGGTCGTAAACAGCGTCCTTCACGTCAGCGTCGTAAACCAAATTGGATTGATGAGAATTATGTCACTGGTTTTAAGTAAGTATTCTCGTTAATACTTTTTATCTTTTTTTCAGTGCGGTAGCTGTGTATTATTGTATTGTGATAAATTGTTTGGATAAAATGATTAACTAACGAAAATATTCGTACTGAGGACTTTTATTCTCATAGCTTCATATCCATGTATGAAATTTAGGAACAAACGTTCTCGTCGCGATGACGATGATATAGATTCGGAATATGCACAGCCAAAGAATCAAAGTCGACCGTCATCAAGAGCAGGACAAAGTCGATCGCCATCAGGGACCCAACCAAAATGTGTTAAAAGTGCGAATAGTCGACGCTCAACACCTACTGAACCTTCTAGTGCCATTCCTGGTATTCAGTCGGAGGCAAGCAGCGAAGAAACATCGAACTCTTCGACTCCTGCGCCAAATGAAAACGCATAGTTAGTTCTCAGACATTGTGATATGTTTTTGATCTGTCTCATGCTTAGCAATCTAAGACAAATCTTAGAAAAATTCTATTTGTTTGTTATAGCAGCGTTGCGAGCAATAGCCACGAATTGAACGATGGTGCAGTACAATCGCCGCTTCCCTTATCTTCAACTGGTGCGGAATGTGCCAAAGATATAATGGTAGTGTTTTCGTTATTAATTTACTACTAATGTTTTCGACCATTAATATGACTTATCAATTTGTTGTTGACATTTCGCTGCTACTTTCAGACCAAAAAAACTTGTCGTTTACAGTATACTCCACGAGCTCGAAGGATGAAATATGGAGATGATTTGTTGTCTAACGTTGGTTAGTCATAGTTTTTACTCACTTGGGATGCTATTACGTTTTGACTTTTGCGAATATGTGGGAAATTCTTGCTAGAAATAAAATGAACTGCAGATGAAGAAGAAATGGCAAGCACGTCGAAAGATATAAGGGGACAGACAACACGAGACAGCACAAACGTAACATCAGGTGATGGGCGTCCCGCATCACAGTCTCGTCGTAAGCAAGATCTTTCAACAATCCGAGAAAATAATGATGAAGTTATGGTATGTTGATTGTTTGTTAGTTTTCGGACGGTTTTTATGGAATGGAAAGTTTAACACATTCACTGATAATTTGTATTTTTGAGGTTGGTGTTGTCAGTTTGGTATTTGTTTGAAATTGTGGCATTAATTCAAGGTTCAAATCAGCTGGTGGTAAACTCGAGAAATTTTTCTCAATTTTTTTAAAACCACATTTTTGTTTAGATTGTACGTTACTCAAATGGTGAAGCATCTCTTCCAAAGGATCTCTCAGAAATTCCTGTCTACCTTACTGAAACACAGCGTGATCTTTTTTTCTCGTTCATCCGTCCTGCTTCACCTTCAAGTGATGGTGCATCAAGTGCTCATAAGTGCATGCAATGTGGTGACATTATTGCGAACATATCAGTCAGTTTTATTAACGAAAATTAAAAAAGAATGTTTAGAGTTGTTTCTATTTTAATTCTTGATAAGGCAATTTTGGAATACTCTCAGGTGAAAGACTGGCCTTATACTTAGATAAGCTAATGCGTATTGTGACAAAGTGTTGCAATATCGTTGCGCATTGCTCTTCATAAATTTCCTGGACATTCATAATTGGTATTACGAAGGTTTCATTTCATTTGATTAATTTTGGGATTGACCTCATGGTTTATTTCATTTTAAGGAGGGACGACGGCATGCTGTGAGTCATTTACGCATTATGCGTTTACGTTGCTCATTGTGCGGTTGTGGTTCATTTTTCTGTTCCGACATGCGAACTCACTTACAATACAGACATTGTGATAAACTGCATCTTGCACCAAGGGGTTATGTGCTGCCGGGCAACGTTCTACCATGTATGACACAGAGACAGGTAAAGAGTATATCTTGTATTTAGATATTCATTCATTCTTATGTTGTTTTCTTGTAACATAGCATACGTATAAATTAACATGGACTTATCATGACTTTTTTTTTCTTTTCAAGAACAAAAAAAAAAATGGGAAATTGATAAAAATTAATGCTTAGTTGGGTGAAACCCCATAATTGATATATTTGCCAGGCTGATGACCTTACTCGAGTTGTGGACGCAATGAAGCCAGGTCGTGTAATGTATACTTCGGGAAAAGTTTGTTTTCTATTTTTTTTAAATTGTTTTATCCTACATTGAATTTTTTAAATAGTTTTTCTTTTTTTTATTAGACTTAATGTTTTATACTGTATAAATTGAAATTTGAGCGTTGGTTTCTTTCTAGATTATTAGCTCAACTAATCCAAAACCGTATTATCCGGATCCGATAATTGAAGAGCGTGTTCTGGGCACACTTTTGCCAGAAATCGATGCTAGTAATGATCATCGTCGAAATATATCAGCAAATATTATAGGAGGTGTGAACACTTCTGCTGGAAAGTCGTAATAAATTGTTTGATTAGGTATTATTTGTGTAATGCCAGCTGAATTGCTTATTTTAGATAAATTTCAAAAATAAGTAAATACTGATTTTTATAGACCTAAAGGATAAAATGTTTAATTTTATTTAAAGAGGCATTTGAAAAATAATCTATAATTCGTTTTTTTTCTTTTTTCTTTTTTATGAACTTTTTAAGGAATAACTAATCAATTATTGGAAAATAACTGCAATGTACATGGTTTCATGTTATTATTTCGAGTTGAATTATATATACATATATAAACCCAATCGAACTTAATATTATACAACATAAGTGAAATCTTTGTTTTGTATTTTGTTTGAATTTTCGACGGTACTCAGTGCACGGGTCTTCGATCTCTATGTGGCATAAAGTTACCTGTCGTAATCTTCTGATATCCGGCTCGATGAAATGTTTGACTGACATAACTTTTTCTTTAAATTCTATTAATTTTTTCTCTGCTCCTTATGATAAGCAATTGTTATTTCGTTTGAAGCGAAATTCTCTTTATTAATAACTCTTAAGTGTTAACTTCAGATCAATACTGTCCAGCATTGAGTAACAAATTTAATGTACATCAATTCTCTGCAAACTAATATCTTATAAATGATCGGATTTTGAGCTTGGATTTCTTTCATTCCTCAATGACTTTCATATAGTTTTGATTTCCTTCTCTCAAGCAATATTCATCTATGTTTATGTCATTCATAGGTATCATAAATGTCCATCTTTATACTTTTTTATTTCTTTTTCAGTAGACAGAACAGAATTTTTTATGCATCGTACTTATTCAATAATTTCTGTTCATTATCATCTAGTAGTTATTTCAACCAACTTGTTCATGAAATATTGACACAAATATTATTATTATTATTATTATTTATAGTTTATTTCATAGGGGAGATTTCAAGTTTTCAAGTTTTTTCATTTAAATATGGTACATTTTTAAAAATTTTTTTTGATAATCATTTTCATTTAAATCTCTATAATCGAGTTTTTATATTAGCTTAAGCAATTGTTCTTTTTTATTTATATATTCATATCCATTTTAGTCAATACATTTTTTTTTTTTTTTTTTTTTTTGTTCCATTTGAATGAACTACATGGTTTTTATATTTGTTTTAGTAATTCTTATCACTGTTCAAATATATTTCATTGTTTATTCAAATGCTTCTAGCAGTACGTTTATTTTACTTCAAATAAATTACGCTGTTTCATCTTTTCCATTAAACATTTTATTTTCATTAAAAAAAATTGCACCATTCGTTATTATGCCTTTCAAGAAATTATTTCTAGTCTTTGGTTGAACATCATTGCTTGTATTACTTTTTTCATGGATTTATTAGTAAACAAGAAATCATGGAAATAAATGGGAAGAGTGAGAGGGGAAAGATAGAGAGGGGGAAAAGTTGATGAGTATCCAATATTTATGACATATATATGGTCAGGTAAAGCAAATGCAAAATGTAACATATATTTGCCCATTTTTAATACTTCAGTTTTCCAGGATATCTGAGAGTTAATTCAAAGGTTCCATTGCGTCTGTTTTGAATATTTTTTCTCTAACCACTATGTTAATCATTTATCTCACTCTTATTATAACAAATGTGATAAAAGTTTGTTTGGGAAATGCCGTAAGAGTTGTTTAAATTACATCCAAAGTATTTTCTAGAGATGCTGTAAGAGAAGGTTTTCTAAATTGTGAAAATGGAATAAGTGATTCAGGCTTAATTTGCGTAATGTTTCATTATGAAGAAAGAATTTAGACAGAATTTTACTACCAATTAAAATTACTAAAATTTGGTATGCAAATTTCTTATTATACAATGAGTGAACACATCTACCGACAGTCAATCTTTCTTTAATCTTTTTTTTTTTTAATTTGCGCAGAAAAATATTTCAGGTCTTTTTAAAGAATAAAAAAAAGTATTTCTAGAATAACTAAACTTTTTTTTCTAAAGTAGCAGTTGTAATATAAGATAGTTTATCAGAAATGCCAATATAGTGTTTATTTATTTTATTGTTAGTTTTTGTTTTGCCGATTCAATCGTAAAAGTTTATCTCGATTTTCCGGAAAAACAAATCCTCTATTGATTGGACATTAATTTGCATATTCCCTTGCTATTGTAATTAAGGAATATTTCTGGCGACGAGTTAGGACATACTGCTAGTATTTGCGACAAGAATCATGAAGTGGCGTATGGGAAAAGATTTTGAGAAATTAAATCTGCTTGTTAATTGGATTAATTAAATTTTAAAATTATTTTTTCATAGTTTTCAGTCAATAAAATCAGATCGTTTCTTTTGATGATCAAAGTAATGTAATAAATAAGTATTAATTTGTAGAAGTGTAATATATTTTTAGGTTTATAATGTTTTCAACTAGTACTCAAAAGAAAGAATGGACATTTTCATCACAACAGGATCTTTTGGATCTCAGGTTTTTTTCTTTTTTTTTAAAAAAAAAATACACAGAGGATAAAAATTAGGAAAATAGTTTGTTTGGGAGATGGATGTAGCTAGTCATTTTTTATTTCTCTGTTTTGCAAAATTTGTTCAGAATTATAATATAAATGATGTGGAATTATTAGCAAATATGCATGATATTATCGTTTATTTCTAGGAAAGCAGCAAATGAGAAATTTCGAGCAAAATATGGAACAGTGATTGATGCTGATCAAAAAGATATATTTTTAACACCTGAGGAAGAAGCACTATTAAGAAATATTGTCACAGAAACTGGCATTAGGTTTATTGATATAAATTCTTTTTCCTCAAAAAATGTATTTCCTCAAAAAACTTTTAATGATTTAAGAGAAGAAAAGTTCTTAAAACAAATTGTAGTAATTACCTTAAGTATATATTTAGCTTTTGTTTCTTTTTTCATATCATTAACAATGATATGAAAAAAGATCAATCATCATAAACAGTTTATATTGAATAATGCAATAGTATAGACTCTAAATACCTATCCATAGAGAGGATTTTTTGGAAAGCTATTGATAATGTATAAAGGTACAATTATATATTTTTATATTTCTGATATAGATAGATTAGATGCAAATATTAAATATGTTTTCATCATTAGTCTTTCTTTATTAGCATTCTTTTTTTCAAGTAAAAAAGAGGTCTATAATTTTTTAAGAGAAAAAAATTTTTTTAAATTAATGGATGATTTTTTTTTTTTTTTTTTCGTAAGGTTTGCGGATGATTTCCGCCCTACAATGTGGCCATCAACTCGCTGGACAGCATTTGCATATTTTAAACGTTTCTTTCTATATCACTCAACAATGGAATATTCACCAAAAAGTGTGATGATGTCATGCTTTTATTTAGCTGCAAAAGTTGATGAATTTAATATATCCATTGATGAATTTACTAAAAATTTGAAGTTAGTTTTTCTCTTCTATTTATTACAATCTTTTCCTAATATTAAGCATAGGATTAAGTGTATTTTTAGCAAGTTTTTTTTTTTGGTGAAAAATAATTTTATTCTTTCATTATGTGACTTTTATTCTATTGTTAAAAAAAAATGTGTAATGAAATTTACTCCAAACAGTTTACTTTTTTTAACTTTTAGATCTGGGACTGCTAAATCAAATTCTGAAACAATTTTATCATTTGAACCACAAATAATGTTGAAATTACATTATCAACTAACGATACATTCACCATTTCGACCATTTGAGGGACATTTGATCGAAATGAAAACGCGTTCATTGTTAGGTTTCGATTTGGAACAAGTGCGGCCACATGCGAATGATTTTTTCAGGGTTCGTATACTCTTCTAATCGATTTTTGAACCTTTTTATGGCAATGAATTGTTGAAATTCAACTTATTGTTAAAATTAAAGTTTTCTTTTTTAGAAAGCATTATTCGGTGATGTTATGCTTCTCTATCCGCCATCACAAATTGCACTTGCTGCTTTAAAACATGCTTTACAGATGCTAGGTGGCTTACAGTATTTTTTTTTCGATTTCCAGCAAAATTGTTTGAGTATAGAACTTTAAAAATTATATATTTACACCTCAAAATCAGATTTACTCAATATCGATTCGCCTTTTTTTTCAAATTGCAGATATATTCTGCAATTATTACGATTACAACAGTTGAATTATTAATGGTTATTGATTTCATTCTAGATTTTGATTTTTAATCTATCTTTTCTCCGAAATTGCTACATTTAAATTCAGATAAGGCAGATGATTTATTGAAAGATCAATTCCTGAATAAGATGCTTGAGATCGATACGTGGAAGCCGCAAAATGATAATGTTTTAATATGCGAAAAATTAATTGCTCGGCTTGATGAAATTATACAATGCGTACTTGATGGTTGTAAGCCCATAGCACCTGAAACAAATGAAGCATTACAGGTAACAAATTCCAAAAGTGTTGAAAATTCATTCTGAGAAATATTTTCAGCACTTTATTTTTAGCACTTTTAAGTGTAAAATATATTGTGGTAGCATAATTTGAATAATACATTGTTAAAATATTCAAAAAAAAAAAAAAAAAAAAAATTTTTTTTTATCCGATGAATATAAATTATCTATAATATACATTCGATGATTATCCATATTCATCGAACTATATTTTTTTTCATAATTTTTATTTTCTAGAGTCATATGGAACGTTGGGTAAATACTTTTCCTGAATTGGAACGCAGATTATCCGTTTTGAATGCTAGCCTTCAAGAAAATTCTAATTCGAATACTGCTCTTTCTGATGATGATTGATCTCTTTTATATTGTTTCTTATGATATGATACTTTTTTCTCAGATTATACAGTTTGATTTTTGATGTTTTTTTTTCGAAATTGTTTACATATTATTTGATGAAAAGAAATTTCTAAGTAAATAGGACAAAATACATTTGACAGCGTTATATCATATCCCTATAAAGTCCTCAAATGAAAGAGAAATTGCACGAAAAAGAAAAAGCTGCGGAATTTGCAAATCAAAAGTTAAATCGATTTTTTTTCTTCATGCTGCTAAGAATAAATGTTTCCTTTAGCTATTATTTCTGGTCCATCTCATAATGGTAGAAATCTAGTATTCTGTGCTTTGTCATCTCGATCATCATCTCGAAAATCATTAATTCACTATGAAAGTATGCAATTATCATTGGTTAATAAATCATATCTGATGTTTAACATCCGTTTATCAGCAAAATTTATCGATTATTGCGACAGTATGAATTAATTATTTACACATACATTTATTTAAAACTAACAAAATAATTTATAGTTCATGTATAAAATATCACTAATAATTCGGTTATAAAACTATGCTAGCCATTCCTTTTCTATTCAAAAAAATTATAAGCAGTAGTAAAATTTTTAAATTATAAATGTTTGACGAGAAAAATATTTTGCATTAACTTAAATTCTTTACAACTTATCTGTGTTTAATGTATTTTGATGAGTTACTTATATCTACTCAACTTTTTACTCTCTTAATTATCTTCATTTGAGTTACATACGTTAAAGTTATATCATACATCCAGTAGATTGTAAATCACGTTTGTATACGTCTGAGTATCACTGAGTATCATACATGCGTGAATTATGAATCACGTTAAGATTTTATATATACTAAATTTTTTGCGCAATGTTAAAAGTAGCACATTTGTCTAGCAGCACAGAAATATCTCTTATCTTTTCGTCGTTATCAGTCATAACAATTAATTAAAGTCATCATTGTACCTAATTGCTGTAGTAATTAATTAATTAATTAATTAATTAATCGGTTTATTGTAAGTTATGGTAGATAGTAGATAGCTGTTATTCAGCTGTCATTCAACAATCAAATTGATTAATAATCAGATTGTTAATTCTCGATTGATGTTTAGAAAACATCGATGGATTTAATGCTGGACATTCTTCACAGTTATTAACAATTCATTTTTATTTTAATGATGGACATTCCTCATAGTTATTAACATTTCATTTTCAATGATAAATAGTTAAAATGAATAGAATGTGAAAAGAGATTATTATCATTATTTGTTGAAACATTTACTTACTTATACATATTTAGATGACATTGACAAAATAAAATGATAAAGAGAAAAAATGTACCCGTACATTTCCTTTTCATCTATCATTTGGTATTACTTTTTATTCCTTTAATTTTATCTAAAGGAAAGCTTATAGATTGTAATAGCTAAGATTTTAGTTTATTTCATTTTTTTTTCCATTTCAAAATTGCGGTTTTCTACTATTAAAATTTTTATTTAGAATAATGTCTTTTCAAAAAATCAAATTTTTTTTGAAAAAGCTCTAAATTCAAATGCAACTGATCTCTTTGAAATGACTTAAATTCTTGTATGAAAAAGAACGAAATAACTTTGAGTAAAATAAGTGTATTTTCTTGTTCTTTTCATTATTAAAATACATTGGATAATTTATTCAGCTAAAATTTTGCCAGCTAAAGTAAAAAAGTAAAAACTTGATTTTTTAAAACTTCATTTATAAACTAGATAAGGAGAGTAAGTTTGGAAAATTTTAAATTTCAGAAACTAAAAATACCCTCTTTCCTTCCCTAAAAAATTTAAAAAGAGAATTTTCAATTTTTCTTTTGTTTTTAATTCATTAATAATAAGTATAATAAAATTTAAACCTAATTTGAAATAATTAGTTTTGAAAATTTTTTCATTTAAATTAATTACGGTTAACACTCATCAATTCACAGTCTATAATGCATTTAGTTGTTTGGTTACATCTGCAGCGAAGCATATTTATTTATCAAAATTGGAAGCAAACAATATCACAATATTTCCAATCATAGTTTAATGCAATTTTCGACTAGAAAAGAAATTTTTTTTCTGCTAATTTTATTTAAATAATAATTTCAGTGCATAATGAGTAATGTATTAATAATAATATTTTGCACGTGGAACAAAATTATTCTTTCCCTCGCTCCCTTTTTCTCTCTCTCTCTTTCTTAAAAGAAGGAAAAAACACCCGAATTATACGGGTGATATTTTTAGATGAAATTAGATTAATTGCTAAAAGTTCTTTTTTTTAATGGTTTTTTTTTCGCAACATATTACTTCTTCATGTAAAATTATACCTTATTAATTGTACAAATTAATTAATTAATTACTGGTAGAAAGTATTTGATTCGTTTTGTTTAAGCATTTAAATATTCATAATTTATTCTATTAGTAGAGATAACAAAATATTACATTTGATAGCAATAACAATGAACCATCAGTCAATTCTTTCTCATTTATTCTCTTTCTTTCTCTTCCTCTCTCTCTGTTTTTGTTCATTCTTTTTCATAAATTAAATTTCTTTTTTTTGTGTTATCTGCATATAAAATTTAGCTAACTGCTTATATAGTTTTTGGCAGAATAAATATTGCACCAGTTCGATATTGAACTGACTATGATTGATATTTTCTTGGCCAACTGATAACTTTTCTTTTTCACTAATACTTTCTTGGCTACTGTCTACTCGCTATTTTGTATAGCACTAAATGAATAAATTTAAAATTGATTAATGTATAAAAATAATTTGCGAAGATTAACTACGCCAACATTATTAGTTTTCTTGGCCACATATTATAACATATCATTTGAGAGCATTTTAATTTGTATTATTTGTGCATTTTTTAAGATGAATGAATTCGGGAATAGTTGACGAATATGTTGAAGTAAAAGTAATTTATTACTTTAATTTATTATTTCAATATAAGTAATTTATTACTCCAATATATTGATTAATTCTTGAATTAGCTAAAGCTTTTGCTCAAAATGTTCATTTATTGAGATTCTTTTTTCTTTTATTTTATCAAAAATAACTTTAGCATGTAAAAAATTTTCGGTGAAAAACACTAATAGAGATGAAATGAATAAATTATTTTTGCTATGGAAATAATTTACAGACATACAAATTTATTTATTTTATGAAATTTCACATTTTGGCAAAGGGAAATTTTCATTCTTTGTCGAAATGTTTCAAAAATAAAGCTTCAAATGTATAACATTTTCCGAGAAATTTGCTGATTATAATATTAATTGAATTTTTTGTAAAAAAAAAAAATTGCTTTTGAAATAATATTTTTTTTGTAATGTCTAATTGTTCGGTTTTTTTCTTTTTTTTTTCTGGGTAAAACAATGTCAATGAAATTAAAAAAATAAAACATTTCGAATTCAACTCATTGCAAAAATTTTTCTTACATAATAATTTAAATACTTGTATTGGAAATACATTAATATTTTATTAGTATTAGCATTGGCAATGCTATTAATAATTATCCCAAGAAAGTTATTTTTATTTATTTTTTTTTTTGTTTTGTGATAAGCAAAAATTTTTATTTATTATTTTTGTTGGATTATAAAAATATAATGCATGAAAATTCTTTAAAATGATTTTTGAATTTGATTTTTCTCATTACTTTAATGAAACAGAGCGGAAAGTTTAAGCATAAAAGTGAAATAAAATTTCTAAATTCTTCTAGGAAGAAATACCAAAAAAAAAAAGAAAGGAAAATCTTTCAACTAAATGAATTTTAAAAAGAGATCTATGTAACAAATTTAAAAAATTTTTAGTTTCACTCCAATTTTCTATTTCACAAAATGAAAGAAAAGAAAATTAAATATTGCTTTAAAAAAAAAATCAGTTAAAAAGAAAAATTGCTATTGAAAAGTCAAAAGTTTGTAATTGTTATGCTATGCGTCTATTATTTAAAACCATATGAAACATTTTCACATCAAATAATTCCATTTGCATTTTTTTTTTTCTCAAACATACTTAAAATTTTACTTTTACATGTATAAAATATGATTTGTTCATATTTAAATTTTGTATTTCACTTTTTTTTTTTTTTTTTTTTTTTAAATAACATTTTTCATTTAATTGTACAGCAAAGAAAAAACGAAATCGCATCAGTAAAATCAATTGTCATTTGCATCTTATTTTAAAATTCAATTGATCAATTACTTCGTATTTTTTTATTGATTTTGTTTATTCCTTCAAAAATAAATTTCTAAAAGATAATATGTAAACATTAATAATGTGATCACGCTTCGTATATAATCAAATATTGGTCCATAATTAATAGCCGAAATATGACATGAAGAATTTAAAAAAAGAGGTTTGTCTAGGAAATAAAAGTTTCCGACGGTATATATATATATATATATATATATATATATATATATATATATATATATATATATATATATATATATATATATCTGCTCATAAAACTGAATTAAAAATTTAAAATAATCATAAAATTGAAAATTTCATTATTCAGTTTATTTTCAAAATGTTAAATCAACTTTTAATACTATTGAAAATAAAATAAATGAATCATTAAATCGAATAATAGAATTAGTAATTAATTAATCACCGATTTTATTAATTTTCATTTTCTTTTTAATATTAAATTATACCTAATCAAAGGCGAAATATCTTGTTCTTGTAATAATGTGTAGTTTTTATTTTTATATTTATTAATTATAATTCTACATTTTAAATTATTTTTTTTAAGTTTTTTGGTACAAAATCAATCAATAATTGATTGAATGTAATTTTTATATTCCTTGTGATTCATTATATCAATTGTATTTCACATTTTCTTTCATTTTTGATTAAAAGACAATTGAATCTTTGTTATTCATCTTTCATTCATTGTCAACCGTTTCTTTCTAAATTCATTTTTAAATAATGGTCATTATTTGTTAACATTTGCAACATAATTATTCGCGTTTTACTTAACTCACTTCATTATTACTAAATTCTCTTTTTTTTTTCGATATAAAAATAAATTACTTTAACTATTAGAAGTAAGCTAATATCATCCGCTGGCAACATTTTGTTTTCAGCAATCTTCTAATATCGAATTAATATCAGTAAAAAATTTCAAAAGTTAAAAAAAAATGCTGAAACCTTTTTAAATCCCTAAAATATTCCTAATTAATTACTTTCCCTTTCTCTTCTAATATATTTGTCAGTAGTTATTGAATGTAAAATTGAAAAAATAAATACATTTCAAATTCTATGAAGAAATTAGCTTTCTTTCTTTTAAAAAAATATCATAAAGCACTATTGAATGAGAAATATAAGCAATAAAAGAATATAAGATAAGGAAGTTGAAATTAAAATTTATCATTATTTTTCCGCTCAGGAAACGATTGCTTCTTTTTTTCTTAAAAAAAAAACTGTCAATTTGAAAGAATATTGATACAAATCTCGAATTTTACATTATTTACATTATTTCTTAACAATTTATTGTTTACATGATAATGCTAAATATAATAGACATTTGCGCATGAAGATTTAAATGATTGTGACAAGTATTTTTCCGAGGTGGTGAAAATTTAATAGCATCTATTTTTCAAGATAAAACTAACAATTGAAATTGAAATTCGACAACAATTTATTGTAAACAAAATGGCGAAATAACTTCAATATACTTTCCAGTTACTTTTGCAATTTCTTATCTTCAATTATTGTTTAGACTAAAAATTTTTTGTTTGAAATATTTAATAAGAATGATAAAAAATTTCGAATATTTTCAATTTGTTTATCTTATTTCTTTTGTGATTAGAGAAATATTAAATGACAATTGAATTAGTCAAATAATAAATGATTTGAAATAATAAAATGTATAATTAGTATTATTGATCTATTTATATCTGCACTTTAGTTTTTGTTCAATGTAATTTCATTGGCCTGTGAAATTATAATTGTTCATTTAGTTAATCGATTTGCAAATTATTTAAGTTATATTTTTACATTTCTGCTTTTACTATAGGTATTATAAATGCATTTCCATTATTGCTAAAGCAATTTAATTAAATTATAGCTAAATTTATTTGGTGTTAAATGAGAATTTACGTACGTAGGTTTGCTAAGTGAACGCTGAAATGTGACAGTATCAAATTTTAGATTTAAATAAATAGATGAATTTGAAGATTTAACATTAAAAATTAGTTTTTGAAGTTAAGTATAAAATATAAAATTAAAGGTAGTTAAATATGATTAAACTTGTCCTTCACGCTCTAATTAGTTTAATGTGACAATTTAAACTAATATGAAAACTGTTTTTGTTACATCAATTATTCAACCATAATTTCCAGTAATGAAAAAAAATAGGAAACCCATTTATGCTTAATTTCATTTCTAGTTCTTTCTTTTCTTTCTGGAATTAAGTGCATACATACATATGCATATTTATTATTGCATTTCCGGTTTATTGCATTATTTGTACATATTTCCGGAAGTTTTAAAAATGTTTAAAAAAGCTAAAAAGTTAAATGAAGCTAAATGCTATTACTACGGTAAAATTATAAATCACATTAGACTAATGTATGTATGTATAATTTTTTTTGAATTTACAATTAAATTCATTCGTTGCATAATTTCTCAAAAAAGAAAAGGTATAATAATAAATTCAGTTAAAAAATATAAATTTTTCCAATGGTTTAAATTTCTTGCTTCTTATTCATTTAATTTCATATTAGCAGAAAAAAAAATTTTTTTTTCTTAAAAAAAGAAAAAAATTAGTTGAAATCGTCAACAAATGATATACACAACACACACACACAACTGTCGAATAGATTAAAAATGCAAAAAGCATCGTAAATTTTCCATTAGCATTTTGATTTTGATACATTTTTAAAATTATTTCTTTGTTTATATATATATTCGAACAATAATTTAATATTCACAATTTACAATTGTGTGTTTGTTTTTTTTTTTACTGCTAATATTGATATTATAAATTGCATTTTTCCCATTGCCATTTTGACAGTAAATCATCAAAAAAAAGGAACCGAAAAAAAAAGAAATGAGAAATGAAATGAAGAAATCGTCAGAAGCAAAATTAAATTTTATGAAATCTAATAAAGCAGTGGTAGTGATCTCTCTTTTAAATTCCCTTGATATTTAATGTGATTTAAAAATTTCACTTTTCTCCTCTGAGATAGTGCGGGGAAAATGAGTAAATAAATAGAATGACGACATAGTGATAAATCATTTTGATAGACTGCCATTTTTCTTTTTTTTTTTTTTTTTTTTTTTCACTTTTTGGTTTAAAAATATCTTTTAAAAACGATAAATTGAATAAATTACTTTATTGGAAAGTAGCAGGCGTTAATGTGAATAAAGCGCTGTTTAACATTCAAAAATTTTTGCATTTTTAGTTTTAAAGTGTTTATTCCAGAAAAAAAAAAAAACGTTTTTATTGTTTTTTTGCACTTTTTTTGCTTCTTGAAGAAAAATGAGCAAAAATTTCAATTTAATAAAGTTACCATGAAGAGAAACATAAAAATGACAAAACAATATTCGTGAGAGACAAAAAATGAAAAAGCAAAACATTTGCCAAATATAAGCAAAATTTAAACTTAATTAAATAAGAATTTATCATATGAAATAAAATGTATATTTATTTGTTACGCATATAATGTTTATTGCATATTACCATTAATTTAATTTAAAAATATTAACAAAATTTTTTCTAAAACAAATTCTTTTTTTTTTATTTCTTTCTTCTTTTGTTCTATTTCTATAAGCACGAAATATTGAGTAAAGACAAATACACAATATTATTTGTTAAAAAAGAAATGAATAATTGGTGATTCGTTTAGTGCTACATTAGCATTAGCATTTTGTTACCAAAGAGTGGCGAAAATATTACTGATTAATATATTTGGAAATGAATTAATGAATTAGGTTGCTTAGTATAAATTTCAATTTTTAATTAAAAATTAAATAAAATTAATTTTATTTATTAATATACATTGATTTATATTTTATTGAGTGCATTTAATTTGCTGAATTTGCTTCATATGATAGTTATTACGTAATTTTTGTTTATGGTTAAATATTGGTCCCACACATGTTTCAAATTTATAATAATTATTATTATTATTACATTAGCTTTAATATGCTAAAATGGAGAAACTTATTTCTGTTCGTTGACTTGTTGACATGTAGAAAGTTTAACAGGAAATTATCATTGTGTCAATAAGAAATTATCTTTAGTCAAATAAATATAGCATTACAGAGAGAGAGAGAGAGAGAGAGAGAGAGAGAAGTTTTTTAAAATGAAATTAGCAAAGAAGGCAAGTGGCATTATTTTTTTCGCTTCCTTTCATTTTAAATTTTGCATATCTATCTTGTAACAGTTGTGAATTTCCTAGACTTTACTTTTCATTTTTAAAGTGAAGTTCTTTCCAGCCATATTGATTTTTTATCATTTTAGTGGTAATTTCTATTTATAGTAATAGTTAAAGGAAAAATTAAGATGAAAATGACAATAGATATTCCATATATTTGTACTTGAAAGGTAATTCAGGTAAATTAAATTTACTTGGTATTACGGAACATTGTATTTTGTATTTAACAAATGACTACATTTGAATTTTGTTACAAAAATTTATGGTTGTCTTTGTCAATTTTTCATGTACAATTTCTTTTTTTACTCTATAATAATAAGTATTAAATCTTATTCTATGCTTCGATAATCATATAATTAATTTGTAGTTGTTATAATTGGCGCAATTTTAATCAATAAAAGTCTAATTATTTCTAATGGATTTAGCTTTTTTTTCTTCTGGAAGTCAAGTTATAATTTAAAAATTGAAGCTTTTTTTTTTTTTTTTGTAGTAATATGTCAAAACGCCTTCATCACATGCAACTATCATTCAATTCATTCATAAAAGATGAAAGATTAGATAGCAGAAGTTGACTTAAAAAAAAAAAAAAAAAAAAGAAAGCTTGAAATCAGTTTATTATTATTAAGTTTTTTATACATATTATTTTTGATGGAAATTTAAAAAAAAAAAAATGTACGAAAGCTTGATTAAATTGTTGATTATATTAGGTGAAATAATTTAAATCTATTCAGAAGATATCTTATTTTCTAAGTGAAAAATTAAATTTTCAAGTTTGCGTTTTTTTTTTTTTTTTTTCTTAAAAACTGTTTCATCACACTAATAGTATACTTTTGATGTGAATGTGAATTGAAAAATTTTCAGGAAAGTATTCTTTAATTGACAAGAAAATTTGATATAATCAAATTCTAAAAGCTTGTTTATTTCTGTATTTAATTTAGCAATTTAATTTATTTAAAGAATAGAAAGAAATTGAACATTAAAAAATATAAACATTAAATGGGAATAATTGGAAGTAAAGAAGATAACGATAAGAAAAGAAAGAGAGCATGCAAGAAAATTTCGAAAGAAGATTTATTGGAATTGGAAAGCAAAACATATTGTTGGTTTCAATCTTTTTCTAACAGAAATTTATTTTATTATTTTTAAATTTCGAAATTAATTTCATTTTAGTAAGACAAATTAAACCATTATTAGCAGTAGTATTATTTTAATAAATATAAATTCTTATTCAACAATATTAGTAAGCAATAAAATTAGTAAAAATATAACTGTGAGCACTTCATTTAATTTAAAAAAAATTAATATTTCAATATACTAAAATAATATTAATAATTTTTTATCAAAAAATTCTTTAAGTAAATAATTCGATATTTTGAAAGCTTTTCCTTTCCTTTTTTAAAAAAAAAAAAATGATTTTAGTTGAAATTATTTATTTGAAAAAACAATTACAGTCACCAAAAAGGAATTACGAAAATGGTACAAAGATTTTATCAAAGATTATCCTGCCGGTGAGCTACGAATGGAAGAATTTCATAATATTTACAAACAATTCTTTCCAAATGGCGATCCAACAAAATTTGCAACATTTGTGTTCAATGTTTTTGATAGTAATAAAGTTAGTAATTAATTGTAAATTATGAGTATTATTATGTAATTAAACGTTTTAATAAATTATTTATGAAATTAGAAATTATTACTATGTAAATAAAATTTTTTCTAATAAATTATGAATAGAATCAAAATTATTATTAGTAGAATTTTATATAATAATGTTCATTAATTATCATTCATAGCATTTAGCCTAACTGAATACAAATTTATTTACTACAAGGTTAATTTTATTCATAAAATATTTTACAAAGTTTTCTTAATTTATCATAATCAAACAACATAGTTTTTTTGTTTCTAAATTGTTTACAAAATCGTTGCATGAAATATGTTAACTGAAAATGTTATCAATGCACACAGTGATAAATTCAGTGTATGATATTTTGGATTGAAACAATATTTAATCTAGTTTTTTTTTTTTTTTTTTTTTTTTTTAAATCAGTTACTTGACAGCTTAGAGCATTTAATTTAAAAAGAAAAAGCCAAGGAACTGTTTACATTCTCTTGATAGCTCAATATCTTCTTCATGTTTCTTCAACTTTTTTAACATTTCAAGAAGGCAAGAAAAAAGGTTAAATTATGCAAAAAATAATTTGCAATTATTTTGAAACTATTTTGATCGATTGTCGTTATCAAAGAAAAAAAAAAGAAAAAGATCTTAAACATTGCATTTCATAGAATATTGCAAAATTTATTCTGCATTTCATGAACGCATTTAAAAAAAAATGAAATTTGATAGCAAATTTTGACAGAAAAGTAAAAATTGTCAATCTTTAAGTTTAATTTGACATTTTGATATTTATGAAAAAAAATAGCTTTATTATAAAAGTTTTTTCTTGAATTTTTTTCAAAAGTTTCCCATATTATTTTATAATTTTTATCAAAATTAGTTATTACATTTAAAATTTTATTAACATTTTCTATTAAAAAAAATAATAATTTTCAAAATTTCTTTTTTGAATTATAGAAGTAAAAGTAAATTTAATAAATTTAAATTAAATTTCTTGAGATAAAATTTAATTTAGGATGGTTGTATATCATTTCACGAATTCATTACAGCATTATCAATTACATCACGCGGTACACTTGATGAAAAATTAGACTGTAAAGTTTCATATTTTCTCTTATTTCATTTCTTTTTTTCTTTTCCTTCATTACTGTTACTTAATTTCTAAAAAATATTTCCCTTAATAGATTTTTTATTTAATAAATTTTATTCAATCAAATTATTTGTTTATTTAAGTATTTGTTTAAATAATCAAACAATCATTTTTTAAATTTATTAAAGTTTGATTCATCAATTAATTAATTAAATTCATTTATATAATTTATTTTAGGGGCTTTTTCACTGTATGATGTTGACAAAGACGGTTATATAACAAAAGATGAAATGGGTGACATTGTTGAAGCAATTCATTCAATGATTGGTAATATTATTGAGTTACCCAAAGATGAGGATACACCTGAGAAACGAGTTGCTAAAATTTTCTCTAATATGGATAATGTATGTTTCATTTATATTCACTCATTATTTTTAAATTTATTTTTAGGTTTTACTTCTTTTTCAGTATTTTTTATTCAAATTATAACCTTATATATATATATATATATATATATATATATATATATATATATGTAATAAATAATTCAAATTAATAGTATTTTTTTTACGTAAATTAATACATATTGCATAAAAATTATATTTAAAAAAAAAAGAAAAATTAAATAAAAAATTTTTTTCATCCATTTTAATGCAATTTATTACAATTCAGGTAAATATATTTTCAGTAATTAATCTGACAATTAACAATAAAAATAAATAGTTTGGTAATCTCAAAGTTTTAATTGATTATTATTAATAGCCAAAGATTTTTCTGCAGAATCTTTCTAACTAATTGTTGTTCTCTTTAATTAATTATAAAAGATTTTTTTTTTCTTTTTTTATTTTTTGCAGAATCTTGACGGTAAATTAACGCTCGAAGAATTCAAACAAGGTTCTAAAAATGATCCATGCATTGTACAGGCACTTACAACCGATGCTCATTGATAATGAAAAATATGTTTTATTATTACATTTTCTGTGTAATATATATATATATATATAAATATTTATATTTGCAATCAGTTGTTAACAATTTTTTGTTTATTTATTCAAAAGTTTTGAAAATTAATATTATAAAAATAATCAAAATTAAAAAAAAAAAGGAGGAAAATACTATTTTAATATAAATCGAAATATTTTCACACCAATACGAAATTAAATTCATTCAATTCTTAATTATTATGTTGCCTCAAACAATTTACCACTTATATATATTAAAATCTTATATATTGCTATTAATCAATCTTAAAACTTAGTATTAACAAAAAGGACAAAAATGCAATTAACTTTTGCCTATTTACAAAATAGAAAAACATAAAAGTAAGAATTAAACTTTAATTGTGATAAAATTTCTTTTTCATATCCAATATGTTATTTTTTCAGCTAAATAATATCATAATTATGCTTTACAAATGGAAATTAGTTTATTGCTAAAAATATATAAAAATATTAAAACTGTGCGCAAATGTACTAATCAGCAAATTTATGTATTGGAAATACTTTTGCAGAAAAAAAATGCTTAACGTAAAAAATGTTTAAACGGTTGTGTTATTTCAAAAGTAGTATTTTGTATATCAAAGCTAATTAAAATTATCATATGACTATCAAAAATTTTAAATTAAGTTTTGAAAATACGAAAATCCAATAAAGATTTTCTTAATAGCACTTTGCAATTTCATTTCAAGTCATTCATTAAGCATTTTTAAAATTCACAAACTACTGGTATATTTTCAAATCGCATACTATTCAGTACTTATTAATAAACTATAAAAATCAACAAAAACAATTGGAAATTAAAGTTGTAGCCGGCGGGATGAGTATTTTTCATTGAAGACATTGCATTTACCTCGTTAAATGTTGTACTTGGCAGTTGTGCAAAATTGGTTTAATTTGTGGAATCCTCGAAGGAGATGAAAATTTGAGGAGGAGTGGGTGGCCGAGGTTTATTAATGAAAACTATTTTTCCTTCTCGGATTTATCGTATCACATGTTATCATTTCATTTTATCTTTTGCTTTCAAATTTATCACATTTGAGTGATAGTTAAAGTATAAAAGCAAAAATAAGAAATGAATGATAGTTTGATCAAATTTATTGATATCACTTATGCATAGGATAAATGGAATGTGATCTTCAGATTTTCTCATTTATATCAGCAACAAATTCTTCAAACATTTCGATGTACGCTTCATTTAGCAAATAAATGAGTAGCGTGATCAATTTTCGAGCTAAAGACGATGCCTCATCGTTAGGTCCTTATCGCGATCAACGATTCAAGGTCAGTTCTTCATTGCTTAATGTGATTGATTCATTTTGAAGTGTCTTTAACATTTTCACGCATAAGAAAAAAAAATTATTTGCTTTAATATCGTTTCAAAAGGGATTCGAAAAAAAAAAAAAAAGCGAACGAGAAGGATGATTATCCTTCCGTTGTAACAAAAGTGCTGCTTAAACATTACGAAGAGGTTATGAAGTTTTAACAATGGTTAAAATATGAAGGCTTGCATTTTCTAGACTAGAATACATGTTTAAAGCAAGAAAGCCTTAAATAGTTTGTGTTTCTTGGTGTGTTTAAAGTTCCAGTTAACAGACCACTATATCATATCCAGATGTTTCAGTACTTTGATGCCATTTTCATGATTGCATAAAATTTTCGAAAGAAATAAGAACTTTGTGTAATAAGGTCTCGGGATTTTTACCTAAAACTGGGATGTTTAACTAATTTTTTTGAAAAATTCTTTAACTCTATTCTAGTACATTTCTCTGGTTCATGGAACTATTGAGCTCATATTTTAGGGTTCATTACGTGAACAGGAAAAGCTTTTACTTACTTCGAAAACACTTTATGTTGGCAACTTGTCGTACTATACAACAGAGGAGCAGGTTTGTATGAATTAATTACAAATTATGATTTCGGCAAATTATGGTTTTCTGCATAATTAAATTATGTATAATTAGATTGTGGTTTATAACTCTTGTAATTTTCCTTTGCAATTTTTCAGACTTATGAATTATTCAGTCGGGCTGGTGATATCAAGCGAATAATTATGGGTATTGATCGATTCAAGAAAATACCATGTGGATTCTGTTTTGTTGAGTGAGTTAAATATTATATTGTTTTTTAGGATACAAAAATCTGTTTCTCTTTTTATGGTACTAGAAATTATTTAAGGGATTTAGAACTAATTTTGCAGTAATTCTTTTTTTGATATAGGTGATATTGAAGCTTCAGATTATTGTTTACATTAATGCATTAAAAACATATGCTTTCCAAACACTGGTGGCATTAACTTTTCCGAGTAACTGTTGAGAAAAGAAAACCATTTTATGTAATTTACATATAATTTATGCAGATACTACCTTCGAGAGGACGCTGAAGACGCAATGCGTTGCATAAATGGAACTCGGTTAGATGATCGAATAATTCGTACTGATTGGGACGCTGGATTTGTGGAAGGTCGACAGTACGGGCGTGGTAAACATGGGGGACAGGTATCGATAATTCAGTTCTTTTTTTTCCTTTTTTCTTTATTTCATCTAATCGTCTTTAATTTTAAACTGTTATATATCAAACGCATCTAGAAATACTTAGTGAAAACAATAAAGTGCTAAAATATTTTTTTAGTTATTCTCATTTCTTTCTGGCATAATTGAGTGGATTTTGAAAGCATGTAATCATATATGTAACACTGATTATATTAAAGAGAGAATTTATTATAGGTTTGAAATAAATAGTATTTTGGAAATATATAATCATGTGTGTATGTGACACTGATTGTGTTGTAGGTAGAATTTATTATAGGTTCGAGATGAATATCGTAAGGATTATGATCCAGGACGAGGAGGATGGAATAGAGTTATTGCAACAAGAAGTAAGTTTTTTATTCTTTTGGAATTATTTAAAGGGTGTTTACAAGATTCTTTTTTACAATGTTTATAGTTTTTATATTTTTTATGCAGCTCTTAAAGATAATTTGAAAGTATTTGTATAAGCATTAATATTTGTTTAATTTTTATGTTGCAGATGCTGGACCAGATTAGCTTCCAGAAAGTATTTTAAATCAAAATGATAGTCACCTAATGTTTCTGCACATTAAAAAGCATAGAGGAGATGAAGTACATTGGTGACTTTGATTAATTTGTTGTTTAATGATAATTATAATCGTATCATTCTTGCTGTTACATAGTCCAAGAAAATTTCAATTCTGAAATGTCGACTTGACTTATTAACAGCATTCAAGTGTGCTAAGTGACTGATCAATTTCTTTGTGATTTTTAAAAAAGTATTCTGGAAAGCATGCCTTAATTTATCTCTTATACACTTTATACGGTTATATATTTTATGGCTGAATTACTATCGGTCACTGTTTTTCAAAATTTTATTCATACTATTAAATCACTGATAATCGTGTTATTTTATAAAAAGGTAAAAGTTTTAGCAAGGGTTTAAAATTGAAGGAATTTTACATATTCAAAAGAGCTATAAGAATTGTGATGTATTATTAGGGAAGTATCTCATTTAATACAGTAATGTTACCATTTATTAATTTTGCAAGAAAATGATTCAAAACATATGACTACATTTTTTGCAAAACGATTTTTAGTAATTTTTGTTCACTTTTTCCTATACCATTGATTCATATTGTAATCGCTGAAAAAGTATGTTGGTGTTTCTCAATGCTTCAGAATTGTTTTTTTAGACCAAAAAATGTTTTTCTTTTTTTTTTTTTTTTTTTTTTTTTTACATTTTCGCTCATCAAAAATATTTTGTTTTAAAGCTTCAGTAGAGCTAATTTTATTTTCACCTGCATTCATCGCATTCATATACCCTTTTGATTTTTAGTCTTTTCATTTGTGAATTCTTGGCGTTGGATATTATTTTGTTTTTGGAGCAATGAGTTAATAAAGGATTCCATGCTGCACCATTAACATTACTATGAAACTGGTTCATACATTTCGACCTTAAAGTTTAAATTGTTTTAAATCGATCTTTTCCCTAAAAATTTGAAGCAAAATTGAATTTAAGAATTTTTTTTTGTTTTCTAACCTGTTTCTTATCCCTTTCGTCATATGTGTTTTTACGCTTAATGGATATCACTTGTTTGTCTTTTTCTTCCCTTTTCTTTTGCTGCAAATACTTAAATTACTTTATGAAGAAATTGAGCTTTTTTTTCGAAGTTTTAAGGAGTAAGACTATTTTAATTAAATTTCCTGAATTTTCTAGGTGAAAGATTAATGAAATTTTATTTTAATTGGAAAATTACATTTCCAACTATGATTTTTCCAGTATTTTATTATGATTATTTTTCAAATTATTAAAAAAAATGATAGCGAATAGCTGTAAATAAGTTTTGGATTTTTTCTTCATTTCCTAGTAATGATCTTTTTTTATGTATGTAAAAATACAATTAAATAACTAGATTGCTATTACAATAGTAAAATAAGATGAGGAACTATGCAAAAAAAAAGAAAAATTTCACCATATGTGCATTATTCAAAGAGAAAGAAAGAGAGAAAATACACATATGAAACACATTTAAGAAATGGAATATGTTATCTAAAGATTAATAAATGGTTGAAATAGAGAATTAAATTTTTCATTTGCTAAAGGTTAAGTGATTTGAGAGAAACTATGAAGATATGTGGTATTATTTGATAAACTTTTGTTAGAAGGATAAAACAGATGTGTGTTTATCTCTCTCTCCTTCTCTCTCTCTCTCTCTCTCTCTCTCTGTTTGTGTATGTATGTGAAGAAATATTTTACTACTCATTTATGAAAAGTTTCATTTTATGTCTAATTTATATAATTTTCTATCAACTAATTCATTTATTTTTATAATTTTTGTAAAAATTTTATTTTATTTAAGTAAAGTTAACATGTGAATATTCCTAATAAAAGTGCAATTTTTTTATTACTTTAAAAAAAAAAAAAAATAACATAGTAAGTTTTTATTTCATTTCACTAAGTCTTTAATTCATTTGTTTAATTCAATCCATTCATTCCTATTTTATTTATCGAATGTCTTTTTCCTGATTCCGTTTTTTCTTTTTTTGTTATGATAATGAAAATTATAAGAGGAGGTAATAATTTATTTATTAATACGCTAATTAACTTTACACAAGCTCCATAAAAGAAAAAAAAACTTATACATTATTTTTTAATTCTTTTTTTGGATTATTAGTAACTCAAACTGTTCTAATTTATTTGTTTAGCTAAGATATATTAGCTCTTTTTTTACAATTTACTAAACTTATGGCTTTTTATGAAAGTAAATATAGTCGGTCTCCCATGAAAATGAACTATTATTTGATTTATATTGTAGAAATAGTAATAAGTAAATATTACAAGGTACATTGAAAATGTTCTAAACATTTTCAAGTATGTTAAGATCTAGCACAAATAATTAAACATTAGATAGATGATTTGAATTTTACTATCTGTTGTTTATGCAAATTATTATGGAATTGAAATGACTTAGATGATGGAATAAAAGTCAAAAAGTCTTTATATAGTCATTTTTATCATTTAAAATAAAAAATAAAACAAATAATTTAATCAAAATAACGATTATTTATCATCATTTGCTTGACCTATGCTCTGTATGCATTCCTCATAAAACTTCAAAGATTAAATAAAAACTACAAAAAAAAGAAAAGAAAAATTGGCGATCAGAAAGATTCGCTATCAAATTTGAAATATTGGCTTTTTTTTTCGTTTTTTTGTCAACAACAAATTAATTCCATTTAATCAAAAATTTCTTTCTTCACATTTGTCACAAAAATGTTTCAATTTCTACAAAACAAAGAAAAAATTCAGATATAAAAAAGGAGAAAAGAACAACAAATGTATTATTAATTAGTCACAAATTATCATTTGTAGGGATCAATCACTAATTATTAATTGCAATGATCTCTTCGTCAAATATTTTGCTCATTTTGAACAAATATTTAGGAAAGAAAGAATAAATAAATTTTCCTTTTATATATCATAAAAAATTGTTAATTAAAACATTCGATAAATTTTGGACCACTCAGTTTTAATTAGACAGCTTTGTCATGCATCGATTAATTTTTATTTCAAATAAATATGCTATATGTTATGTGATTGAATATTCTGAATGAAATAATATTGAAAATTAAGAAATGAAATGAAACAAATAACCAAAAAAATACTTTAAATTTTTGAGCAAAATGAAAAAAGAAATTTTTTTTTCCTTTTTCTCTTTCTCTCTCATCCTTTTTTTCCAGAAAAATATTTTTTTTTTTTTTCAAATTGATCATTACTACAATTTAGAAATTAGCAATAACAGCTGCTAGTTTCTTAAACTTCCTTTACTTTTTTCTCATCCTTTTCTTTTCCTTTTACTTTTTTTTTCATCTATTCTTTTTTACCTTATTTCACCACAATTCCAACTCAAATTAGCTACTTACTCAAGACAAAATTTTCTTTTTAATCATTTATAAGCGATTTAAATTTTTATAAAAGGGTGAGAAATTTGAATTAAATTTTTAGTCATTATTAATTTAAATTTGACCGTTTTCTTTTAATTTAAATCTTAATGTTCTATCAGTTACCAATTTTGCAAAAATTACAGAAAAAAAAAAAGAAAAAAATGAAAGAAACGAACAAACACTCTCTTAAAGCAAAAGAATGCTTGTTTGTCCGTTTTTTATAAAAGAAACGGAAATAAGTTGATAAATAGTTTTAAGCATAAAATGAAATTAACTTCATTTCATAAATTTATAAAAAAAAATTTTAGTAAATTTGAAAAAGAAGGGGAAAAAAATAAGGAAAAAACTAGTCAATCGTCAATTTTATACATTATTATTTACTGCTAATATCATTTAATCACAATATTTTTATTGATAGCAGTAGCAATAATCAGAAAATTGCTATCATTCATTCATAATTTTTTTCTTTTTTTTAAATTAATATAATATTAAAAAAACTGAAAATAAAAGTAAATTGAAAATTGATTTCTAATTAACTAATATGCCATATTGATTTCTGTCTAAGAATTAATTGTGTAGGAGGAAATATTTACATCCGAAATTGCATATCAGAATTATACTTTCAAAAATCTATAAATAAATCTATAATAAACTTTATAGATCTATAAATATATCTTAAGTTTAAAATTAGTGTAACAGCGGATAATGTAGCAAAACTTCAAAGATTTATGCTTAAATTAATGCTATATATTAAATAATAATTTTTGCCATTTAAAAAATTTAATAATTTTGGTAATACGTGAACTTCTTACTTAGAAATTCAAAAATTTTGTAATGAAAAAAAACTTTCGTTTTTCCAATTTCACGTTAATTTTATAATAGAAAAATAAAACTTTTCAAAAAGTTTAAAATTTCAAAATTTGTATAATATAAATTTTTTAGTTTTGACTAATTTTGTGTAAACTTTGCACTTAATTTTGAATGTTAATCTAATACTTAAATTTTAATTTTGATGCTTTCTAATCTAATATTTAAATACTAAGCTTTTTTTTTCGCATAGCTTTTCTTCTTTTCCTTTCCATTTTAAAATAAACGCTACAAAAGAAATAAATATCATTTATTAAATGCCATTATCCTTTTTTTTTTCAATATTAAGATTGCTTGCACTTCTTGATAGATTTTATAGGTAAGAAAAACAAAAATAAATATTTTAAAGTAAAAAAAAAAAAAAAAAAAAAAAAAAAAAAAAAAAAAAAAAAAAAAAACGAGAAACACTTCACATGTCATATTGATTAAAGTAGTTATTACTATTCTTGGATATTTCATGCCAAATTATTTCATTAGCAAAAACGAAAGAGTTAAAAAAATAAGGTAGTATGCCTATTAATGAGCAATTATTACAAATAGGTAAAATTGATTAATATTGTAATTTTAAGATAATTTATTGCAATGTTTTTCTTTGTAACATCTATTAAAATTGGTAATGTAAACTAAACATATTCATTTATTCATTTCGTTTAAATTAATTACTTATTACTTTTTTTCTTAAAAAATTCTCATTCTCACACTGATATTCTCATTCTATTATT